TTCTGACCTGTCCCTATTTTTTTAAGACTTTATTTGAGAGAGCACGTGTGCATGAGCTGGGGGAGGGGCAGAGGGAGAGGGACAAGCAGACTCCCCACTGAGAATGGGGCTCCGTCCCAGGACCCTGGGATCATGACCTGGGCTGAAGTCAGATGCTTAACTGACTGAGCCACCCAGGCGCCACTGCCCTGTCCCTATTATTAAATATGGCAAAGGCCATGTCCAACAGTTGGCTCACAGAAGTCTGAGGCACTGTGGTTGCCTTTTGCAATTTCCTCCTGATATCTGGGGCTGCTTGCACAGTAAAATGCAGAGCTAAAAGAGATTGTCCCTCTGGAGAATAAGGGTCAGTATTAGTATATTTCCTGAGGGCTTCAACCAATCTCCCTTGGAAGAGAGCTCGATTTTCATCCTTCCCTTGAGTTATGTCCCTCATCTTGTCATAGTTAACTGGTTTTACGATACATCGTCTCATTCCTTCAGTTAAATAAGTTATCATGATTCCTCTCATCTAGATCTTCTGGACCCCTCTGGTAATTCCACTGGGGGTCTGTCCCCATCTGGGTTCTTTCTCCTCCAGTGTGATACGTTGCATGTCCCTGATTATGGGCTGCCACCTCATTGGCATACTGCCGGGCAGCATTCAATATTCTAGCTTTCTCTCCTGCAGTGCAACAATGGGACAACAAAATTTGTAAATCTCCCCAGGTCAAATTGAAGGTCAGGGCTAACCTAGCAAATTCCTCAGAGAATTTGGCTGGGTCCTCAGAGAAATGGCCCAACTTTTCTGTACATGAGGACAGATCATTTGTGGAGAATGGCAAATGTACTCAAATGGTGCCTCCATCTCCATCTGCAACCTAAATGGAAATTGAGAGGCCTTGGGTTCAGTGTGTTAATGATGAGTGCCTCCATGAGTAATAGGACTCGGTTCCTGGAACAAAGGTGGATAAACGTGGGGCACCTCTGAGTATGAAGGAGTCATTGGATCAGAAAGGGGCTCAGCAGGACTGGTCTTTGCATCTGAAGCCTTATTAGATGCAGGGACCCTCCTTCTGGGGGGCGGGCCTACAAGGAGGGGGTCATCTAATCTATCAGAAGATTTTTTTTTCCAATCCTGAGAAATGAGCTGGGCACGTCCTACAATTATCCTTTAATTTGGGGTCTAGATACAGTGCCATAAGGGCCATTACATAAGGTATTTCCTCCCACTTACCCTCCCGTTTACGAAACAAATCAAGCTGTAAGATAGTGTTAGAATTTAAGGACTCATTCTTAGGCCAGACTTCTTGGTCTGTTAGTTGATATTAAGGTCAAATTTCATTGCAACATGATACTAATTTCTTTCTCTTTAAATTGCCCAATCTCTAGGAGGCACCCTAGGGGAGAGTCCTTTGGGATGCCCACAGCCGCCCCCATTTAGGACCATACTGCATGTGGGGATTCTTAAATGGCACTGGGGTTTCTCCTAGTCGCACAAGACCCAGATTTTGCACTCTTTTGTTTTCCTGCCTTCCTCTTTCTTCCAAGTACAAGAGGAGAGCAATAGCAGTTCGCTCTGCTAAGGTTTTAGATCCAGTCTGCTGGCTGATTATCCTGAAATTAACTGTATAACATAAGTGGACAGAGGAAGTTGGACTTGTTAGCTCAGAATAGGGAATCTGGCAAAACATGTTTTAAAAGGCACTTGAGGAGCACCTGGGTGGCTCAGTCAGTTAAGCGTCCAACTCTTGCTTTCAGCTAAGGTCATGATCGCAGGGTTGTGGGATCGAGCCCCGCGTCAGGCTCTGTGCTCAGCGGGGAGTCTGCTTCAGATTCTCTCTCTCCCTCTTCCTTTGCCCCTTCCCCCCCCTCATGTTGAGCGAACGAATCATGTATAACTCACCAACTTACCACCACCCATGTCCCCCAAGATAGTAGGGGTGTCTGAAAATACTCCTTCAAGAAGTCCTTAAGAAGTACATTGGTGTATTTGTTAGGATTGATCTTGGCTGTAACAGGAACCCTACGCAGAGAAGTAAACAGGTTTATCTGTCTCCAGTGTAAAAAAAAAAACCTAGGTGTAGGACATCTAGGGCTGGTATGTCACCTCAGTGATGCCATCAGGGAAACCGGCTCCTTGTCTTCGGTCACCTGTGGTTTTCACCCTCAAGTTTGCGAGCTGGTTGCTGCATCTCCAGACACTGTGCCCTCATTTCAGGAAGAAAGCCCACCCCAGGGACTTTTACTTACCTCTGCTTACTGTCTAGAACTGTGTCACATACCATGCCTGGCCGTAATGGAGATCATGTGACTCAGCCATTCACTTTCCAAGGAGCATAGGAAGGCAAGGGAGAGCGTGTTGGAATGGTTGTTGAAGGAGTCTGTCTGTAGACCCTGATGGATAGGGAGATGTTGCAGTGGAAACGGGCTTTCTGCTTTCAGTGGGGCTGAGTGGATCCCGGCCTAACAGAGGCCGGTGGCTGTGACGACCGTAACCAGCAGACTGTGCATTTGTTACAAGGATCGGTCTGCAGGGTTCTTCCGTGCTGCCTAACTAAGTGTGGGGTCCTTAAAACCAAAACAGATGGTCAAAGATCCTACTTCATTTTTTATAATTTAAAAATCTCCCTGTTAATAAACAAAGGTCTGATGTGAGGGGCGCCTGGGTGGCTCAGTTGGTTGAGCGACTGCCTTCGGCTCAGGTCATGATCCTGGAGTCCGGGATCGAGTCCCGTATCGGGCTCCCTGCTCAGCAGGGAGTCTGCTTCTCCCGCTGACCCTCCCCCCTCTCATTCTCTCTCCGTCTATCTCATTCTCTCTTTCAAATAAATAAATAAAATCTTTAAAACAAAGAAACAAACCAAGGTCTGATGTGAGTCCTCACAGTATCGTTGTGGCCCCTCCCCCAGTTCTCAGGTCTAGGTCTGACGGAGAAGGAAGAAGCCAGGTGTCTAGGGAAAGAGCCCTGAAATAATTTCATAAGTACTTGCCATGGATCTTGCTTCTTCCAAGTCTTCCCCAAAGGATCTGAAGCGACTCATCAGACCATTCTCCAGGTGTTCTGAGAAATAACCAGACATTCTGGGGATTATGAGACACTGGGTCTGCACTAATGTTAATTCCTAGAGACCCAGAGCTCCACCATGTCAAAGTGAAGGCATTACTGCTTTACTCAGGGGATAGCCCTGACAACCAGTGGAGACAGAAAATCCTCCAAGGTAGCAGATTTTTTTTTTTTTTTTTGAGCAGCCTGCCTCTTTCATTTTGCCAGGAGGTAGAGATGTCTGATACAAAAATCCATAGTCAGTGGCTAACAACCAGGTGATCAGAGATTTACAGAGCAGGAGTAGAGAACTGGCCAGGAGGATGCCCAGGGGAAACTATGGCCGGAGTTCTCAGAATGCACTCAGAGAGTAAGAATATGGATGATCGAGGTGAATGTTCAATTCAAAGTCCTCAGTGCTGGGCGCCTGGGTGGCTCAGTTGGTCAAAGTCCTCAGTGCTTTTAATCATCAGGAGTTCTAGATGAGCTCTCCACAGATGCTCATCTACTTTCATCTCCTGCCCCCCATGTTTGGTTAGTAGACTCATAAACTGGCCATGGTGGCAGGGATGGGGGTGTCTGTCATCTGTACGACACTGAGGCTGACCCAGCTTCTGTCCTGACGACCCCTGGTCTGCAGCAGTGACCAACCATGTAGGTGTACATGCAGGGGACACCAGCCCAAGCCTCGTGGAAGGTTGATAACGTGTGTCCCTCCTCTATCAGAGAGGAGGCAGCGATCTCTCCTCCCTGGAACAGACACATTCTGGGTTGGAATTTGCTTTGTCCTCCACACGTCTGCCAATACCATCTTTCAAGGACTTACTGATAGACTTTTATGTTATTATGCTGTCCCACAGGACCCTTGCTTTCTGATCATGAAATTCACCCTGCAGACTAAGGTGGTGGGCCTCGAGTGGAATCCATTGGACTTACTATAAACACTCATCACCCTGAAGCAGCTGGCCTTCTGGGGTGACGGCTCTCTGTGAGGTTGCAATAGATACAGTCCATCTAGTATATGCGGTGAATCAGGGACCACGGCCTCAGTAGACACAAGGATCTGGCAACTAAGGGGTAAGGGGGATAGCACTTCTCAGTTAATACCTAAGTGACCCCAAGTCTTTGTCTCCATCCCCTGTGATTGTGGGCTTTGCTGATTGAGAGGGAAGCAAAGGGAAAACACAAGAGGAACACAGTGGCTGGAAGGCGGGGGGAGCGTTACAGTGTTGGCTGAGGGAACACGGTCTTGCTGCTACACAATACAGGATGGGAGGGGTATGGATGGGACTTGGTGGGAATACTGAATGTCGTTGAGAGTTCATGGAAGATTTCTGTGATAAGCGGCCACCCATGGCTCAGATGGGAATGAAGTAGTTTAGACTATCCCACCTAGTAAAGCACTCCAATCCACCGCGGTGCTGGCTGAACTCAAGGAACATGGAATAAGTAATGGAAGAGAGAAGTCCGAAATACTAGCCACAGCCTCATGATTAGCTGCTGAATGGGCACTAGGTGCTACCTGTACATTTTTCTTTGCTGTTTCCTGTATTTATCATGTATTTCTACATGTCACCTAACCTTCTCCCTTTCTCTCTTCCCTTAAGGCCTTACTAGATCTGGTTTGGGTCGATGGTGGCTGACTTTACGTTTAGTTCATAGATTAGAGAACATCCGGACGATGTCGTGATAGAGCAGGGGAGGAATGGACAGCATTCAAGGACCTGGCCTGGGAGCTGCATATCGTAGATTAGGGGGATGCGATCTCATTTTTGGTGGAGGGAATAATTACATTTACTTGAATTTGTGGGTGAAGTCTACCTGTTCTGAGAGAACAGATCATTGGATCAGTAGGACATTTCCAAATGGTCATAGTTGCTAAGCCCAAGATTTGTCAAATGCAAGGAAGATGCTGAATATGTGAGTTCGAAGAAATGTATTTACTGCAGATGAGGAAAAAAATTAGTTACACCACTTGCACAGTATTAATTTTACTAAGGATTTAATTTAGATTTATAGGAAATAAGATACAGAATCTGTTATAAATATCCCAATTCTACCATATTAATTTCAAGTATTCCTGATTATTACATAATCAGAGGTTTACCAATCTGTGATTTTATAGATTAAGTTAATTTGTTAAAAAGAACTTTTCAGACACCATTTTTACTGTTACAACATAGGAACAAGCCAGCAAAATCACTGAGCATCTTTTATGCTAGAGTTACTTTCTGTCCAGGTCGAAACATTGTTCCACTTTGATTTTTTCTCTTCTTTGGATTTTGAAAGTTTTCATACCTTAAAAAAATGACATGATATTTAACAAATGTAAATGCTAAAATCACAAAAGGGAATTGTTTGCAGACAGATTATATTAACAAAAGGGAAAAAACTAACAGAAGTTAGAGTTCTTTATTTTTGAAAGTTGAACATTCCAATCAAAGGGGATAAAGACACAAGTTAGAAAAAACAGACATGGCAGTGACATTAAAGAACCTGTTTTAATCAAAGATGTAAATTTTTTTTTTTTTAAAGATTTCATTTATTTATTTGAGAGAGAGAATGAGATAGAGCATGAGAGAGGGGAGGGCCAGAGGGAGAAGCAGACTCCCCGCTGAGCAGGGAGCCCAATGCGGGACTCGATCCCGGGACTCCAGGATCATGGCCTGAGCCGAAGGCAGTCGCTTAACCAACTGAGCCACCCAGGCGCCCCAAAGATGTAAATTGTTAAACAAGATTTTTCTCCAAGTACATGGGCCAAGTTTAGAGAGAGAGGATTATGGCCGATGTTAGAGCGGTGCTATTCTCAATGTACTGTGTTGTGCAGTGTGTCTGGAAGGCAGTAAGCCTTTAAGATGTGAGCATCCTGTGATGTAACGATGCTACCTCAGCCTCAGCTGAGGCTCTGTGCAAACCTTCAGCTCCAACGGTGGTCATTAGCACACAGGTGTAATAGTGAAAACCTGGAAGCAACTTAAGTCCCAATACTGCACTATATAGCACCAGGTGCAGAGGGGCTTAGTGGGAAAAACAATATGCTTTGGGAGGGGTGGGAAGAAGGCAAATTTGTTTTCTTATTGTTTTCTCATTTTTCTACAATAAATACATAAGAATATATACTTATTGGGGAGTAGAATATGCCCCCCCAAAATGGTCCGCTTTGGCATGTGGACTATTTTGAGCTGAAGGGAATCAAGATTACCTTCCTTAACTACCTAGACGAATTTAGGTTCCCTATTGACCAGAGCGAACTTCTTTGTACTGCAGAGCAGGGAAAACATCTGCTCTTCTCATCTTCTATGAATTCCTTCCTCCCCTTTGAAGCTGCAGGCCTGTCTCTTTCCTTAGCTCAGGATGGTGTCTAAACCTTAATTGCCTGAGTTTCCTACTTTGTATGTATGAAATTATTTTTCTCTTATTTTCTTTCAATTAATTATTAGACCAGCCAAAGAACATAGGCAAGAAGGGAAGTTTTTTCTGCCCTCACAGTGTTCACACACCTGCCCATCTCAAGTACTGCAAAATGAAACTTTCAAGAAAGGGTTGTAACTTACTTACTAAATCCTTTACCTAGAGTGGTCGCCAATCTATGGGTCTAGAGCCAACTGGAAGAAACCTATAAATCCAAATGTGTGTGACCATGGTCCACAAGTGAATAAATTTGAATGTATTTATTTCGGAACGGTTCTGGCAAACTATTTGAGCTTTTAATAAAGCTTTTAAAATTAAATCAGTTCACTATAAATCAAAAGATGAATTTTCATTATCTGGTTCACTTGATATTTACTTCAATACTCAAAGTTTTGGGGTGTTTAAATGCACAGCTACTGGGCGCCTGGGTCCCGGAATCGAGTCCCGCATCGGGCTCCCTGCTCGGCGGGGAGCCTGCTTCTCCCTCTGACCCTCCCCCCTCTCATGTGCTCTCTCTCATTCTCGCTCTCTCAAATAAATAAATCTTAAAAAAAAATAAAAATGCACAGCTACTGTTCTGAAGGGGCCTTTACATATTCCAAGTTTAAGTGAACGGTCCCCTGTAATTTCTTTACTCCCGAATCCAGTACTTACAGTTCAGCAAAATTCTTCCAGTCATCTTCACTAATGGATGGCCTCGTGTGACTGAGAGCAGCCATTAAATGCGACTGGCTAATAGCCAGACTGGTTTTGACTGGTCCTGGTTGGTGAAGGGAGTCATCCTCCTTAAATAAAAAAGAAAACACAAGGTTAATATAGGGCTGTGATGGGAAAAGCTGCAGCCCATTTTTCAGGAGACTGTACATTCCCTTTCTCGTAAGATTACTAAAAATTGTTTCAAAGCGGGATGCACATAACCATTTGATCAATGTGTTTCAGTCCCTTCTTTATAAATAGAGCTCAGTTACTGACCGAAATACACATCAAAAAAGGAACAGTTTTTAGTCTTTACAATTATCAGGGGCGGGGGGGGGGGGGGAGGGGAGATAAGCCATACTCCACTGTGGCTCCGGTATCTGCCTTTGATGATGCTGATCTCTGCCCGCAGCTGCTCTCTTTGTTCCTGGGTGAGGTCTTGGTAACCCTCCTGAGAGGCTGTTCGCAACACCGGAGGTCGTGAAAACAGCTGCTCTTTCCCAGGAACTCCAGAAAAATCCTGCGTCATGGAGCTCGGTGCAGACAGGCACTGTGAGCTCTGCATAGTTAAGCGTAAAGGGAGGAAAAGAGCGGGAGAAAAGGGTATATGTATCAAGGATCAAATTAAAAATCTGAAGTAGTAAAACCTTAACATGGACAAGCTTACATTTGATTAACTGGAATTAAACAAGTTCACAGTATGTTCATCTTCTATATGCTGCTGAACCAACACAGGGTGAAAACTGCCACAAGGGTTTTTTAATGCTTGGGTAGTAATAAATCCACCACACTAATGCCCTCAGGGTAGGTTCCAAATGTGCCTTATTCTAAGTTTTGTATACTATAAGGTCTGGAACAGCTGCAGAGAAGTTAAACAGAAAACAAAGACTAGAGCTAGAACAACAGCTTACCATTCTTGGGAATAAAAATGGTTCACTTTTAGATTAAAAACCTGAATAAAGCAGATGTGCAAAAACCAAAAATAGAACTAAATATACTTAAAATAGCATTTAACACCCATCCTCCCAAAACTACTTTATCAGTACATGTAACATTTTTTAAGTTAGAAAAGCAAGGATATTGCCCCTATGAAATCTAAACGTTTTCCTTGTTGCAACATTACATCAAATTCCTCATTATCTTCAACTATCTTAATGATACCAGAGCGTAATATAAAATGGATCTGGTGCTAAAGATGTTTTAAAACCACTAACGAAGGGAGGTAGATGCCCAGGAAACGGAAGGCTCACCACCAGCTCCGCCTCAGAGCCCTTACACCAGGGACGAAAGGACTAGTTCGGGTCAGGAAGAACAAGACCACTTTACTGAAGAACCAGCCAGAAAGCACAGGCGGGGCTGGTTAGATTTTAGATTTTACACCACCCTACGGCTTCAGATATCACAACTGTACAACGGCTACCGCCCAAGATACCAAATCAGAGGAGGTTCCGTTTCCAAGTTCTGACTCGTAAGAGCTTCCAAAGTAGAGCCGGTACATATTGAATTTTGATTCATCTGGAAGCATCTCGGACATCTCTAGAGAAACCAGGGACTGTTCCAAGCCACACTCCCCGTCTCCAGCTGAGTCGTCAGAGCCGCTGCTGTGGTTAAGGAAAACCATTGAAGACAGACTCAGGTCACTGTCAGAGCTGGAACTTCCGTCCTGAAACACAAAAGGACAACGGTTGTAAAGACCTAAATAATCTACAACTCCGAAATAACACAGCATTTTCGAAAGTGTTGTGTTTGAACAGGGCTCTCGTCCACGCTGTGTCCTCTGGGAGCCCCTCGGGCCGGTCTGTAGGCTGCAGACGGCACGGGCGTTACAGCTCTCCCCACGCACGGTACGGCGGTCCTGCGAGCCCGGCCCCGACTGAACACTTGCCGCCCGAACGCCGTGTGAGCCGGCGTGGCCGGGACTCGGTGACCAGCGAGGCCGGCCGCCTGACACTTAGAGAAAGGAAACCACCTGCGCTCCGGAAACGGGCACTGAGCCAAACTCTGGCTCCAATTTTCTTATGGTTCCGAGGCACCTACTATTTTAATAATTAAAATCGAATGTGTACATGGGATTCAAACCCCTGCATTTTATTTGTATGAATCTTTCAACTATGAAATGATGAATCAACCACGCGATGCAGTGCTTTATCAGTCCAGTGTGTTCACCAACAGAAAACGTGTTTATAAGGGGGTGGAGAACATCAGTGGCTTGCCAAAACAAAGAGCAAAAACCTGACAGTATCTGATTTAGGAACGTTAGGCCCTGTGAGCATTTCCAACCGAATGTAGCGGGGAGGAGTACACAGGAAAACCCTTCCTCGAAAGTATAAAGTCTCTAATGTAGCAGAAGTCAAATTATTTGCTGCAAAAATTTAAATACTATCCTGAGAGGAAAAGGCTGATGCTAAGTCTGGGGTACGGAAAGTGTAAGGTAAACCAGAATACCTTGTCCCATCAGGAATAAAGTCAGTGATCAAAGAATGATGACACAGAAGCCATCCACAAGCGGCTCCTATGGGCCAGTTTGAGCTTCAAAATACTTTTTTTAAAGTATAAAACAATTAAAAATATTCTTCTGTTTATATTATCTAATTCATGATATCCCAGTTGAAATAATATCCTTCCATTCACCAACATTTTACTAGTAAGGTAACGTTAAAGAAATAGACACTGAACACTTCATAATTACAGATTCTCTGCAGAGCTAATAATTCCAACGATAGACCCATTTGCCTACAGGTAAATTTCCATACAGTTTTACTAAAGCTGTCAAAAAACAGCAATTATAAGGTTGACATGCTGACACTGAACTGCTCTTACGCTCTGAAAACCGCACGGCTCTCCGGCTGTGACTTACTGGGAGCCCCGAGGACAGCAGCTGTCCGGGTAAGGCCGCTAGCTGCGCGTTGTAAAGTAAAGCTTTCAGATCCGCCCCCGTGAAGGAGTCGGTCACTGAGGCCACGTGCTGAAGGTCCACATCGTCTGCCAGAGGTAGAGAGTCACTGAGAACGTTTAAAATTTCAAGACGTGACACCTGAAGGGAGAAAAGCTAATTGACTTAACAAATAAAGTTAAATATTATTTTAACCTGTATTATGTTTTTTTACAAATTAACTACATCTCTAATAAGCAGTACAAGCTGGAAGATGTCCCACTAATCTCTCTCTCCTCTGAAGCTTTTTCCCTAACAGCAGAGACAGGAAAATGAATGAAAATCAGTATTCTTAACCCTTCGGTGTAAATCCTTTCTTACTCACACAGTGCTGCTTTTCTGGATTTCGGCAAATGAGCCAAGAAAGTGTTTCAAAAGAAAAAATTTAATAGCTACAAGTAACATATTCGTTAGTTTCTAAATTTGGGGACAAGAGGGAGGACAACACAGACTAAGAACAGTTAAAATCTTACCTCTCTGTAACCTGTTTAGAGTCTTGCCAGGATAAGGAGCTGTGTGACCTTTGGACACAGGGAGTGTGGACAGACTACAGACTTTTCCGACTTGCAGGGAAATGGCTAGGTTTTGCATCTAATTTGGAATCTGTGACTAAAGCCTTGCCTAAAGCTGCTCTTCTAAGGACAACTGCTAGTACCAGGCAGAAGTAAAGTTCACGAGGCAAGAGTGTAGTAGCATTTGTTGGGCTTTAGACTCTAAGTAGGAAACTGTCACCTGATCAGGAGGAGGGCAGTATACGCATTTATCGAGTCGGCCAGGCCTCAGCAGGGCAGGGTCAATCAAGTCAGGGCGACTCGTAGCGGCCAATACATAAACACCTGGGGGGAAAATAGTCTTTACTTAAATCCTGGTGAAATAATTATTGTAATAAGATATTTCTGTATTTACAGTTATTACCCTGTAAGCCTTCCACTCCGTCCAACTGAGTCAGCAGCTGGTTAACCACACGATCTGTAACGCCTGTATTATCATGGCCTCGCCGAGGAGCAATGGATTCAAATTCATCAAAGAAAAGAATGCAGGGCTTGGCGGCCTGCGCTCTGGGGAAAACAAGGTTTCGTATTTGAATAAGGCTTCAGAGTTTGCAAAGTAATAATTGTGTGTGTGTATATATATGTGTGTAAGTCTTTATAGCAAATTCTTAAGGAAGGCAAACTCTGTAATTATCCTTGTTTTCAGTAAACTGGGTCTTTGAAACTTACTGTTGCTATGTATGGCCCATCGGGCCAGTTTTCAAAAACTATCCAGGTGTGCCTAAAAAGACTATTCTCCAGTTGTTGGGTACCTGTTCTACATATGCTTAGATCAATCTTGAGTATGTTGTTTAAATATTCGGAGACCTATGAAAATCTTCTATGAAGGTAGATTTATCCATTTCTCCTTGCAATTCTACCCATTTTTGCCTTAAATATTTTGAAGCTACCTTACTGAATACACACAATTTTAAAATTGTAAATTTGTCACCGTGTGGTGACTGCCTTTATCTGTAACTGTTCTGCTGCTTAAACTGAGTGGTGGAGATACAGGAGTTCATTTCATTTAAAAAATATATGGACATTATATTCTCCAAATGTATTTTATAATGAAATTTTAGAATGACACAAAGTAGTTTAAATTTAAAATCTTACTTTCATTCTTAAATACTAGCTTCTGTATTTTATACAAATGCCACAATAAATAATTTATAAAAGAAACTAACATTGCATGTGGCCAACTTAAACTGGAGTAATTAGTGCTTCATATTACTTGGAGATTCCTTTGAATAACCACTTATGATTTACTTTCAGCATTTCATGAATATTTCTATTGTAAATATTTCTATTGTAAATATAAAATTTTCAAAATTTAATATCAAAAATGTTAGTGTATTTGGAGAAACAATTCTCAAGCTTATTAATAAATCACAGTGTTGGTTACTTAAACCGTCACAGGGAACCAACCTAATAAAAATATCCCGAACCGCTTGTTCACTTGCTCCAATGTATTTGCTCAGTAACTCTGGCCCCTATTGGGTAAAATAAAATTAAGTTAGAATTGAAATAAAATTCTTTAAAAACAAAATATAATTGTTGTTTATGACTTAGTCCATTTAATATGATCAAACAGCTGTCTCAAATCCATCTTTAACATTATGTGGCTGGAATAAATATCCTATCACAGGTTCTACACCTTGTGTCTCCTCTGACAGTCTCAGGGCTTAGATCTCGGACAGAATGCCACATCCTCAGAAAGGCCTGGCTGCCGACCCCATCGGATCCTGCTTGTCTCTCTCTCTCCACCAGTAGAATGTAAGCTCCAAAAAGGCAGTTTTGTTTACTGAAACCCCAGTGCCAAAAACAGCATAAGTATTGAATAATTGTTTACTAATGAACAGTTTAAAAAGGGAAAATGTTCCATCTATCTCAAATCTTCGGAGACTCCAGAAAATGTGTAATGAGATATGAATTATTTTAATCAGCATTTTCAATTCCTGAAACCAATCTATTTGGACAGAAGGTGAAGAATAGTTTTTTTTTTTTTTTTAAAGATTTTTAAAAATTTATTTATTTGACAGAGAGAGAGCACAAGTAGGCAGAGCGGCAGGCAGAGGGAGAGGGAGAAGCAGGCTCTCCGCTGAGCGGGGAGCCCGATGTGGGGCTCGACCCCAGGAGCCTGGGATCATGACCTGAGCCGAAGGCAGACACTTAACCGACTGAGCCACCCAGGCGCCCCTAGATCATCTTTTCTAAACGTCAACTGAAAACCTTTCAAAACTATTCCTTTAACAAAATCAATAATGAGGACAGTCTTTTCTTAAATTGGGATCATTTTACAAACTGAATAGGCCCAGGGGCACCTGAGTGGCTCAGTCAGTTGAGTGTCCAATTCTTGGTTTTGGCTCAGGTCATGATCTCAGGGTGGTGGGATTGAGCCCTGTGTCGGGCTCTGTGCTCAACACGGAGTTGCTTGTCCCTCACCCTCTGCCCTTCCCCCTATTTGCACACTTGCTCTAATAAATAAAATCTTTCAAAACAAAACTGAATAGGCCCTAAAGTGATCTCTAGTGAAAAATCGTTACCTCAAAAAGACCAAATACTGATCAGGCTATGTGACCCCAATAAAGAATTTCTACTACTCACCTAGCTAGGTATCTATTGACATACTAGTATTTAATGAGATTTCCTAGTCAGTGCAGAACCACGGAGGATGGAACAAGAAACAACTAAGGCAAAATACTATGAACAAGCAACGTACTGGTGTCAGTGAAGGCCCTTGTCTTTGATGCATGTCTCCCAGGCTCCACCCTGACCCACCCCGACAAAATTGTCTTTACTGAAACCTTTCTGTTGACAATTCATTCCAAACCATGATTTGAAGGTTTACGAAAAGGGACAAGATGGCCTCCCCAATGGAACAATCTAAAATACAACAAGATGCGTAAGCTTTAATCCCGAAGACTGTTTTCCTTTAAATAGTGAAACTACATTCTAGTGACAAGCAAAGAGTATATATAATCACAGTTATTCCAGAATCCAGGAAAAGAAGGGAGGAAAATTTAAGTTACAGTGTTTCTCCATCACTGCCAGGGTAGCTGGTAACCATATAACCAGCTCATTTAGAAAAAAAAAAAAAAAATGTCATTACAAAAAGGGTAGGCATAACCCGATTGCAAATTACTAAACTGGCTTTCACATTATAAATCAACTTTGAAAAAGATTACAATCTGTATTGATTCCTTTCCCTTGACATCTAATGACTCTTCAGTGCACTACTATGGGGTTGCTGAAAGCGTACAAATAAGATACGGCACCTCAGGCTGCAAGGACATGCCAGCGGCCGACTGAGGCACCCCCCAACGTTGTCTGCCGGCGTGTCCTGTCATCCCCGCTTGCACCTTCTGAGGACACTCGGGCACACTGTGGCACACGCGGGGGTGAAACAGCCACCAAGGAATGGAGCTAAAAAAACCCGACTTCCACCTTAGTGTGGCCTCCGACCCCTAGTCTTCTAGGTTTTCTTCCCCCTTCAGGTGTAGTTTGCTCTTTTATCTGAGTATTTATGCATGATTCTACTTGATAATGCATGAAGATTTACATGAAGCAAAAACAGCATGAGCCCTACAACAGAGACGTGGCTCATGATGCAATGTCCCACACAGCCCAGTGTGGAGCCCAGTGTGGAGCCCAGTGTGGAGCCCAGTGTGGAGCCCAGTGTGGGGCTTGAACTCAGAAGCCTGACAGCAAGACCTGAGCTGAGATCAAGAGTTGGATGCTTAACCGACTGAGCCACCCAGGTGCCCCCTCCCACAGAGCTTTAACTAATAGATGGATCGCTGCTACTAGTTTTCCAAATATGAGACTAACCCACAATCAAGAAATATAAATGGTGTGGGCAAGGTTATGGAGAACCAGGTACACTCAGCATTGCTGGTGGGGCCATAAAATGATGCAGTCACTGTGAAAAACAGATCGGCAGTGCCTCAGTAAGTCACACCTGGAATCATACGCCCCAGCAACTACACCGCCTAGGTATATATTCAAGAGAAATGAGAACATGTCCACACAGAAATGTGTACACAGATGTTTACAGCAACATTATGCATAAGAGCCAAAAGGTGGAAATAACCTAAATATCCACCAATCATGAATGGAGAAAAACCTGACACCCACACAATGAAGTATCATTCAGCTTTAAAAAGAACTGAAGTACTGGGGTGTCTGGGTGGCTCAGTCAGGTTAGCCTCTGACTCGATCTCGGCTCAGGTCATGGTCTCAGGGTCGTGAGATGGAGCCCGCACTGGGCTCTGTGCCGAGCATGAAGTCTGCTTGAGATTGTCTCGCTTTCTCCCTCTGCCCCTCCCCCTGCTAAAATCTAAAAAAAAATGTGTCTTTAAAAACAACAACAACAAACTGCAGTATTGACGGCTGCTACCACTTGGATGAACCTTGAAAACATTCTAAGTCAAGGAAGCCAGTCACAAAAAGATGACATACTGCATGATTCCTTTTATATGAAATGTCCAGAACAGGAAAATCCCTAGACAGAAAGCACATTAGTGGCTGTCACGGGCTGGGGGGACAGGGAACAGGATGAAAAGTTTTGAAATAAGAAGAGCGAGGTGGTGGTTACACAGCGCTGTGAATGCACTACATGCCACTGAACTGTCTACTTTGTTACGTAAATTTACCTCCATTAAAGAGAGAAAAGGTAAATGCAGGACAAACCTTGACACTAATGAAATTCATCCCACTCTCCCGTGCGATTACTCCACCTAGTAAGGTTTTTCCTGTTCCGGGAGGACCATACAACAGTACTCCTGTTCTTTGTCGTATGGGCAAGTTTGCAAACAGTTCTGGGTACTGAAAAACACAAAAATATGACAAAGAGCTCAAGTCTAAAAAAAGGACTAAGCAGCAAAGTCAATGTACAGGAAGAAGTATTTGGATGGGAGTAACTTCCACCTTTACTAACCGTATAACGACAGAAAATGAAGTTCCGACTCAGTATATGAGTTCAAAGGAACTACCACCGATTTTTACCAATTAGACCACGGAATACATTCTTCATAAAGTGTGTATAACTGCCTCTGAACTTCCTTCCATTTTGTCATGTTTTTTAAAAATATTACAACAGTACTACATTTAGAAAATAAAACCCAATCTTTCAACAAGCATATACTGCCTTCCCCTTGTATGGTTCACAGGGCAACTTAGGATAGCTATGTATATTCAAATATAGTGAATCAAAGAAAGAAAAATAATAGAGAAGCACGTATAATGATAACCGTAAGCTCTCCCAAGAGCCTCCATGCCGAGCGGGTGACTGACTGCTTCTAAATTACTGGAGAGCAAGACTTTGTGAACAGAGGAGCCAAACATCAGGCTAATGTCAGCAATATCCTGGTCTCCTCTGTTAGGTATGCCTGTTCAGTTCCCCCTGCTGACAAAATTCTAACCCCATCTCTCTCTCCATTCTAATCTGAAGAGGCCCCAACGTCAGCCACTATGCAAAGAGCCTCTGTGAATCTGGGTGCCGATGCCCAGACCAAGCATTTGGGGGGCATGATCCTGCTGGCAAGTGCTTCCACACCCACCTTCTCTCAGGCTTTAACCTGCAGTCCTGGGCTGCCCTCAATATGCCCCGGGCCCACTGGCCACGGTTTCTAGGACGTGCCATTTAGTCTCATGTAACTGAGGTCCTTACCCATGTCTCTGCTCTTTGCATGGGTCGCCGATCTCACGCAATGATCCTTCCCTCGCAGGTTTGCGGTTCAAATGCACTACCACCTAGATGGTACCTTCTGATCTTCTGAACAATCTACCCCTGCCCCCTTTATCCTGCCACCTGCCTGGTCTGTGCTGCCTGCTACCTCTGTCTTTCTAGGACTGAGACCCAGAATCTGGAATCTGACTTAATCCCTCAGTTCTGTGGACCTAGATGACTCTTCCAGCTTATTCCTACCCGTTTCTGATCAAATCCCAGCTGACAGTTCATTTGCTTTAAGTATCATCTGAATGATTCAAGCAAAACACAAGATTTATGCAATTCACATCAAAATATACATACTGTAAATATCACCCCAGCTTTAAGTTATGTACAGGCAAGGAGTATATCAAATACTTCAAAAAATCTGTTAGAGTATCAAAAATAGTGCTGGCATTTATTTGGTAACTCAGTAAATACTTCTTGAATCGAACTGAGATTAGGCAAGCCAACACATAAAGGCATTCAGTGGTTCTTCTGGAAGTAAGTACTTGGTTTTTTTTAAGTACCTTGGCTGGTAACTGGATGGTATCCATGAGTATCTGCCGAACTTCATGTAATCCACCAATCTTATCCCAGCCCAGGTCCCTAGGTTTATGCAAGTTGACATTTCGCAGAGACACAGGAATAAATCCATGGAGAGCCTTTTGGAAGTCCAATGTTGTTAAAGCTAATTCTGTTTAAAAATAAACACAACTTGTTTTGGTAGTCATATCTATATATGAATCTTCAAAATTTGCTATCATCTTAGCAGGAGAGGCTGATTTCCTACTCACCTGCTTATCTGAATACTAAAATAGAATATATTTAATTCTTACTATATTAACTTTCTCTGCAATGGCAAGATTTCAAATTTTGGATTTAATAGGAACACGTACCTTCCCTGGTGGATATGCTCTGATGAGAGAGGTGAGAATGTATGGCTCGATCCACAAGCACTGTAAAATCTCTAGCCACAAACCCTTCAGTTTCTTTAGCTATACGTTTCAGGTCAAGATTAGTGAAATTGCTTATTTCACAGTCCAGTTTATTTTTTATTACGTTATACAGAATTTCACACCTTTGCTCCTAAAGAAAAAAACACGAAATTCAATTTTTTTTTTTAAGATTTTATTTATCTATTTGACAGAGAGGGAGAGACAGAGAGGGAACACAACAGGGGGAGTGGGAGAGGGAGAAGCAGGCTTCCCGCTGAGCAGGGAGGCTGATGTGGGGCTCGATCCCAGGACCCTGGGACTATGACCTAAGCTGAAGGCAGACGCTTAATGACTGAGCCACCCAGGGGCCCCACAAAATTCAATTTCTAATTTTACTCAAATGTAAACTCTAGTACATATATTTTCAGAAAAACCAGGTTGACACAATCTAGGGTAACAAAAAGAGATTGGCAGTTGTCTGCAGATGCAGTGGGGGAGGGACGGATTGCAAAGGGGCACCAGGAAACTTTTGGCAGTGATGGAAATGTCTGTTCCCTTAACTGTGGTGATGGTTTCATGACATATACACGTTAAATGGTATATACAGTAGATAATATATACATGTTAAACATGATTAAATTGTACAATTTTTTTTTCTAATTTTAAACTGTACACGTTATTTTTTTTTTAAAGATTTTATTTATTTGAGAGAGAGAGATGGTGACAGAGATAGCGAGAGCACAAGCATGGGGAGAGGCAGAAGCAGAAGCAGGCTCCCCGCTGAGCAGGGAGCCCGATGCAGGACCCGATCCCAGGACCCTGGGACCATGACTTGAGCCAAAGGCAGACGCTTAACGACTGAGCCATTCAGGTGCCCCTGGGCATCCGACTCTTGGCCTCAGCTCAGGTTTTGATTTCAGGGTTGTGAGTCCAAGCCCTGTGTTGGGCTCAGCATGGAGCCTACTTAAAAAAGAAATAGATATTCAATGACCAATACTACTACCATTCTGTTATACTTACTACTAGGTTTAATACTTTCATTCTTCAATAACAGGTAATTAGCACAGGGTCTGAATATTTAGGATAAGAATTTTAAAGGGGTGCCTGGGTGCTCAGTCGGTTAAGTGTCCGACTCTTGATTTTGGCTCAAGTCATGATCTCACAATTGTGAGATGGAGTCCCATGTCAGGCTCTGCGTTCAGCATGGAGTCTGCTTGAAATTCTCTCTCCCTTTCCCTTTGCCCCTCCCCTGGCTCGTGTGCTCTTTCTCGCTCTCAAAATAAATAAATAAAATCTTAAAAAAAACAAAAAGAATTTTAAAGAAGAGGTTAAAATGTGCTTGTCTGTCCTGGAACATACTTCTTTGAGCTCATTGCCTCTAAAACCTTCCTGAACGTGAGTCCCCAAAGGGGACGATGGGCCATGTGGGCTTGTGATATTGTGATTTATGATGAGAAATATAGATTTGGTTTTTGTCCCTGTTTCTGGCCCAGATCTCCTAAAACCCTTAGAATTTCTTAAGTGGTAAGAATGATAAAGGCGCCCTGATATTCACACCCTTTCCAACACACCAGAATTTATGTTAATGAGGGGGGCGTTTCAGAAAGCACCTAAGGCTGAGGGCTGGCTGCCAGGGAACCAACCATAGAGGGTTGACACTTGCAGTACCACACTTCGATTTCCAGGAAGGGGAAAAGGGTTGAAGGTTGAAGGTTGAGTCAATTGCAAAAGGCCAAAGATTTAATCGATCATGCCTATGTACTGAAACTTCCACAAAAACCCAAAAGGAGAGGATTCAGAGAGCCTCCAGGTTGGTGAACCAGAAAGCTTCCATGTGCCATCATCTTGCCAGGCCCTAAACATTACAAGGACAGAAGCAGCTTGGTGAGAACAGAACCTCATCCTATGTATCTCTTCATCTGGCTATTGATCTGTATCCTTTAATATCCTCTGTAATAAACTAGTAATCTACTGAGTAAACTAGCTTTCTTAGTTCTGTGAGCTGCTCTGGAAAAATTACTTAAAGCCAAGCAGGGGGTTGTGGGAACCTCTGATTTACAGCTAGTTGGTCAGAAGCATAGGTAACAAGCTAGACTTGCAATTGGCACTGAAGTGGAAAGCAGTCTACAGGATTGAGCCCTTAATCTGTGGAATCTGATGCTATCTGAGTAGACAGCAGAATTAAGTTGAATTCTAGCACACCCATCTGGTGTCTGAGAATTGCTTGGCGGTGTGAAGGAAAAACCCACACATTAGAATTGAGTACTAAAATCATAGAGGGTAAAGAATATTGGTGCTCGTAAAGAAACAAATGTTTAATCAAATTTTAAAAAAACATCTATTTGGATAAAAAAGGATAAAAACCATATGATCATTTCAAAAGCACTGGACAAAGTATAACATCCATTCTTGATAAAAACTCTCTGCAAAATACGTCTAACAGGGAATATACCTCAACATAATAAACGCCAAGAAAAGCAAAGCTGGAGGTATAATTCCAGACTTCAAGTTATATTACAAAGTGGTAGTAATTAAAACAGTATGGTACTAGCACATAAAAACAGACACAGAGATCAATGGAATAGAACAGAACACCCAGAATAAAACCCAGAATTAGATGGTCAACTAATCTTCGACAAAGGAGGAATGAACATAAAATGGGAAAAAAGACAATGTCTTCAACAAATGGTGTGGGGAAAACTGGACAGCTACATACAAAGAATGAAACTGGACCGCTTTCTTTCACCATACACAAAAATAAATTCAAAATGGATTGATGACCTAAATGTGAGACCTAAAACCATAAAAATCCTTAAAGAAAAAAAATCCTTAAAGAGAGCACAGGCAGTAATTTCTCTGACATCGGTCAATGCAACATTCTTCTACGTGTATTTCCCAAGGCCAGGGAAATTAAAGCAAAAAATAAACTGTTGGAACTACATCAAAATAAAAAGCTTCTGCACAGCGAAGGAAACAATCAACAAAACTAAAAGGCAACCTACTCAGTGGGAGAAGATAGTTGCAAATGATATATCTGATAAAGGGTTAGTATCCAAAATATACAAAGACCTGATATAACTCAGTACCCCAAAAACAATCCAATTAAAAAATGGGCAGAAAAAAAATGGGCAGAAGACATGAACACAAATTTCTCCAAAGAAGACATACAGATGACCAACAGATATGAAAAAATGCCCAACATCACTAAGCATCAGGGAAATGCAAATCAAAACTACAATGATCTAGGTATCACCTCATGCCTGTCAGAATGGCTAATAAAGAACACAATAAGTACTGACAAGGATGTGAAGAAAAAAGAACCCTCATGCATTGTTTGTGGGAATACAAACTGGTGCAACCATTGTGGAAAACTGAAGAGGTTCCTCAAAAAATTAAAACTAGAACGACTCTATGATCCAGTGATCACACTACTGGGTATTTACCATCAAAAATACAAAAACACTAATTCAAAGGGATACATGCACCCCTATATTTATGGCAGCATTATTTACAATAGCCAAATTATGGAAGCAGCCCAAGTGTCCATCACCAGATGAACGGATAAAGGAGATGTGGTACATATATACAATGGAACGTTACTCAACCATAAAGAAGAATGAGATCTTGCCATTTGCAACAACATGGATAGAGCTAAAGAGTACAATGCTAAGCGAAATACATCAGAGAAAGGCAAGTATCATGTGATTTCACTCATATGTAGAATTTAAGAAACAAATGAGCAAAGGAAAAAAAGGAGACAAACCAAGAAACACTCCTAACTACAGAGAAGAAACTGATTGTTACCAGAGGGACGGTGGGTGGGGGGATGGGTGAAATACATGATGAAGGTTAAAGAGTATACTTATGATGGGGGGGGAAAACAAATATGTATATATATATACACACACACACACACACACACTCGTAATTCTATTTGCATTTCTCACTAAATGCTCTTTCTTACTAAAAAGAAATCTTTAAAAAGGTAACTATGTAAGGTAATGGATGTGTTCAATTAACTTGATTGTAGTAAATATTTCATAATGTATATGTAAATCATATTGTATAAATATATACAACTTTGTTAATTATACCTCAATAAACTGGAAAAAAAAATTCGAATGTCCACGATGTATTTACAGATTTCACCAATGGAAAATAAAGTTCAGAATTTGTAGGGTTTTTGTTTTTTAAATGGAATAACAAAACTTCAATAATTTAAAAAAATGTTTTCCAAAAAGCCTTGGGAAGTACACAGTAACATTTCAGATGGTTATAAATGGAAATTGTGCGTCTGAGCACAAAATGCACCAAATGTCACCTTTTAAATATCCTTAAGCGTAAGTTTAAAGCCATAAATTAGTAATAAAATTAAAAAATGAGGGATGCCTGGGTGGCTCAGTCAGTTAAGCGTCTGACTCTTGATCTCAGGGTCATGAGTTCAAGCCCTGCATTGGCTCCAGGCCTACAAATAAATTTATTTATAAATATATTTTATATAAATTATATTAATTAATAAATTTAATTAATTTATAAATTTATAAGTACAAATATATATAAATTATTTAAAATAGAATTAATTAAATACATAAATAAAGTAAAATTGAAAAATGGTTTATATGAAGAGGGGCATATTTCAACACTCTTCACAAGTAGTATTACCTGATTAGGAGGTTGAATATGATGGACACACTGAAATACATGAATTCCTTGAGTGGAGACAAGCGAAGGATGCAGAGAATGTTGAGACTGGCTTGTGGCAATCAGTGCAACCAAACTTCCCATGGAAATAAACTCTTTCATCATATCACTCAAAGCTAGAATAAAGCAATACAGTGTAAAAGCTTAGTAAATATAAACATGAAATTTAAGAATTATACACTCATTAAAAATAATAACCTGGGGGCACCTAGGTGGCTCAGTCGTTAAGTGTCTGCCTTCAGCTCAGGTCATGATCCCAGGGTCCTGGGATCGAGCCCCGCATCGGGCTCCCCGCTCTGCAGGAAGCCTGCTTCTCCCTCTCCCACTCCCCCTGCTTGTGTTCCCTCTCTCACTGTCTCTGTCAAATAAATAAAACCTTAAAAAAAAATAAATAAATAACCTGAATTTGAGCTTTTAGGTGGAGTGCAAAGAGTATGGATCCTTCATACCTTCTAAAAATTAAATCTGCCACTCATTCACTGATTGATTTACTGGGGACCTAATATCAGCCCCACTCCAACCAATCTAATGGAGGCAGAGGAAGTACTGTAAACTCAGTCTGTACACTCAGAACAATGCCTAGGTGGTTCCTTACTTCTAGATCTTAGAAGTAAATCAACAGGAGTCTCTGAAATAAATACAGAAGGATGATAAATTCCCATATTGTGCTCTGTTGATTAGGCAAAACACAGTTCCTATTACAATGACTTCCTGAACAATCTCTTTCCACCCCAGGTCTTGCCAGGTTTGGTTATTAGGAGGTCAGAACTGCAACAGGCATTAATCAGGTGTATCTGAGTCTTGACCTAGAAATTTGCAGCATTCCATTAAACATTGCACTAACAAGTTTTGCAGATCCTACAGGACTCTAACTCTGAGATTAACATGGGTTTATAATAACCCAAGGTACTGTGGTTGCATTTTGTCTCTGTTCCAGCTGTCAAGAACCATGAGGCAGCTACATGCGGCCAAATCCTCTGACACTACCCCAGCTCCCTGCGTGAATTCTAAGCTCCAGGCACAGGGTAGTCACTAACATCCCACCATTTCTCATACCTCTGTGCCTTTGCCTGTGGATCGATCATGCTTCCTTTGCTTCCTCGTTAGCTGCTTCACGCTAATTTCTACTCCTCCGTCAAAATTCAGTTAACTGCAGTTATCAACTCCCCCCAACAGCCTTCTCTGCTAACTCCTTACCACCCCTGCCAGTCCCAGTTGAGGATGTGCGCTCCTACGGTTGCCCACGTACATCTCCAGCAGAGCAGATCCCCCCACCTCGGAGCTGTGCCACCCTGGTCAAATGACTTCATCTCTCCATTTTCATTTATTCACCCGGAGAATATTTGCATGTAGAGTACAAAACAATCCTAACCCAGAAAAGGCCCTCAATGCATGGTAGCTACCATTATTATCATCAGTATTCTGTACGAAAATTGTCCGTTTACTTTTCGTTCCGCTCCTAGACTTTGAGAACACACTGTGCGTAAGCATTAGACAAACATTTGTCAAATGAACAAAGCCAGAGTAAATCTGTACAACGAAGCAATTTCTAATAAGCACAGGAGAATGAAAAGACCCCAGAAGACTAATCACAAAGCTGCAGAATTTTCACACCGCACTTGTCTACCAATTTTACAAATACAGAAGCCTCAAAAGCAACACATAACATCGCATTATCTGAAGAGAGCAGATTTATCAGTAAGACTAAAACTGTTGGCTAACCAAAGGAAAAGGCCCACAGCCCTGAGCGGATGCGTTTCCATTACCATGTGCCAGCCGCTGGCTCTGCACGGCCTCAGGGCCGTGCTCATGTTCTGGGACAGCAGGCCGGCCTACAATGAGGTCAAGGTCGTCCAGCAGAATCACGGAAGGCTGCCTCCATGCCGCCTCGGAGAAAGCCAGCTCCAGGGTTTTTTGTACCTTTTCAAGCCTTTTCCCTTAATATGGGAGATATGAAATGGTTTTAATGTTATTTCAGGCCTGGTAAGTTCCAGCTGCCCTTTTGAGAGCATTAGAAAAGCTCAATATTGATTTAACTCTGAAAATTTCAGCCACATTTTGTCAATATACCAATCACTAAAATTTGTTAATCATTAACTTGGTTTTAATTAATGTAGTCTCAAAGGACTCACTAAAGAACTGAATTTTATAAAGTGGAAAAAAAGGAACATGCTACTGTAAGTCCTGTATGTATGTATTCTTACTGGGCCTTATATTCCACAGAAAATTTCAGATGGCATACCACAAAACAGTAAAACAAAGGAGGATGTGGAAGCACGTTAAATAAGAGTAGGGGATCAAGATTCAGATAAAATCAAACATAAATGTAGCTGTCCAGAGATCCTAGAGTTACTATATTTCAGTCATACATTGGCTTCAAACTTCCTGGTGAATTGCCAACTTTTAATTTTCAAAGAACAGAAAATACACAAATTCATAAGCCAAAATAAAGAGTTCCTGTTACTTAGGTCTACAACAAAACTTTCACATGAAGCCTCAAGTAGGACTCTGAGAGATGGACAGTCTCTCTAAAACCACCTTTGTAGCATACGAAGTAATGGGTTTTTGAAGGCTATTTCTTCGTTTCTTACCATATACTAGATAAAATACACAAACACAGAGCATGGGACTAATTGGGATGACACGGCAGAGGTAGCCAAGGGGGGGAAAAAGTTACTCAAAATAAAATCTTTCCAATCTTGTTTTTAAAAAAAATAGGTAATAAGCAGTAAAGACCTAAAAAGTACCAAAGTGTACATGGTAAATTGTAATTCTCCTCTTCACTGTCCATAGCCAGCCTTCCCCACCTCACCCAGGGTTTCTCTAGCAATTCAGGGATAATGTATACCCATTAGAGTACACCTTAGATACTAACGTTCCCAGAATGGTCTAAGTTGGCATTTTTAGGAATATAGTTTACAAAGAGTTTTGGCTAGGAAAAAAAGGAGGGGGCCTCCATCAAGTATGGAGAGTTTAAAAAATTTTGCTGAAAATATTAGAAAGCCAAAGATTTTAAATTTCTTAGGAATTTCAATGACTAACAGAAAAATTAAAGATCAGATATTCACATTTATTAGATGAACAGCATTAAATAACATTTCCGTCTTTCTAGCAAAAAAAGGTTTTATATAGAGTGTTATATTCATACCTCGTAAAGTTTTACAGTCAACTATCTCCACGTGGGCATCCAATATGTCAGATGCTTCTTTACAGACTGCCTTGGCTAAAGTTGATTTTCCAGTGCCCTAGAAAATAATTGCTTCGTAAGCAATATATTCAATCACAGAAATAACTTCTGTTACTGTGGCAACCATCAAGATTCAGCCTCACCGATCAAGTGTACACTACCCAATGTTCTATGTCTGTTATATCTCAATAAAGCTAGGGGTTAAAAAAAGAGAGAGAAAGGAAAAGAAACCCTACATCCCTGGAGCTCTAGGATCATATTATGGTGGGTGATGTTTAGTATAAACTAATAGGAAGGGGTGAAAATGCGGACTCAGGAAGTTTTAAGAGCACTGCAGGTAAGTGGGAAAGATTTCCTAAATATGTATTTAAGTCTATCAAAGAAAAATATGTAATATTCTGCAAAGAAACCAGGAGGCTCCAGCTTCCCAGCCTTCATATGGGAATCCCAGGATTCAAGTAGTACAGAAACACAGGCAAGGGTAATAGAGGACAACCCAACCTCTGGAGTATAAGCCGCCCAAAAAGGGGCATTTCCCACCCCAATTCCAACCCCAATTGGTACTGACACTAAAGATAATAAATTGCTTTGAGAAAGTAAAAAATGTATATACCAGTCTAGTACTGTGTGAAAAAGACAGGTGTTACTAAAATAACTTTTGTTTCAAGTTGTTAGAAGCTGGATGTATCCTATGTTCATTATAGGGCAGAGACAGAAAATGCACATCTAATTTGTTTTTACAATTTGTTAAAACAATCACTAATAATTTCTTTTACCTTTAAAAACAGGCAATGCTTCATTATTTACTAGAAGGGAATAATGTGAATATTAAATAATTTTTCTAGAGAAATGAACCCTAATCCCATTTAATTTCAACTATTTTTATCTTTTTTTTTTTTTTTAAGATTTTATTTATTTATTTGACAGAGAAAGACAGCAAGAGGGGGAACACAAGCAGGGGGAGTAGAAGAGGGAGAAGCAGGCTTCCTGCAGAGCAGGGAGCCCGAAGCGGGGCTCGATCCCAGGATGACCTGAGCTGAAGGCAGATGCTTAACGACTGAGCCACCCAGGCGCCCCTTAATTTCAACTATTTTTAATGGAAACATTTATTACCCACTTCCCTATTATCTTAAATTAACTGTAATTTTAATCCAGTTTCTTGATCATTTACCGTATTACCGTGACAACCAATTAGTGTACCATGTGGCCCTCAGAGACTCTTAAGGTGGGCAGAACTGTTTATTTTTATATTAAGTGACTCCCAGACTATATAGGGTTTGATCCTGGTTTATAAAATATGCAAAAAATACAAAATAATGATAAACACTTAGCAGAGAAAGATAAAAATGTTCTATAATCATCCCACCTCACAGAAGTAGCCAAAGTCAACTGTTCTGATGTTTCATCCTTCCAGACACTCCCCGCACATTTTATGAAAATTTATGAAGATGGGATTATTTGTGCAGGTTCATGACAAATCACCGTCCTCCTTATGGACAAATATGGAGCCGCACCCATTCCCCAGCACGCCGCTGCTGAGACATACTGGACTGAAACAGGTTCCATAAGCCCCTTCCTAATGTACATTAATGCTGCTTCCAATTTTTAACTATTATAAGTAAAGCTAAAATAAATATCCATATGCCTGTTTACTTGTCAGATTATATGTTCAGAATAAATTTCTAGGAGTGGAATTACTATATCAAAAGGTACACGTTTAAAATTTTGCTGAACATTGCTATAGTGTCCCCTAGAAAGGTTGACATTGGTAGGTTTTTATAATTCTTTTAATACAGGTTTTCTCCTTCAGTGTACTATTATTTCTTACCCTCGTTGCTTTGTCTAGCTTTAAGAGCCCTGCACTGGTTCTAATATTTTGTTTTTCAGCACCATGAGCTGGCAAAACAGCCAAGCTTGTTATACAAAGTCTGAAATTTGGCAGGCACTCAACAAATCGTACCATCAATACAGCTTACAGAATTGCATTTACATTTAAAGTCAATGGGCTCCAGGGGCGCCTGGCTGCCTCAGTTGGTGCAACATGCAATTCTTGATCTCAGGGTCATGAGTTCGAGCCCCATATTGGATGTAGAGATTACTTAAAAATAAAACAATAAAGTCAATGCTCTCCAAAGAACAGAAATTAGGGGTGCTGAGATACAGGTCCCCTGCCATAATCATTTTGCCTAGTCAGAGGGCCTTCTCCTCACATAAAGTCATTCACATTTGTATAATAGCATTTTTCAGTTTACAAAGTGCTTTCACACATATTATTTCCCTTAAGTGAAGTTAATCCTAAGAAGGCAGATAAGAAACCAAAAACCTGCCTGAGGTCACAGCCGGTAAGTACATGACAGAGGTGGGACTCAGATCCAGGTCTTCTCTGCTTGTTCTTTTTTTTTTTTTTAAACCTTTTTTTTTAGATTTTATTTATTTGACAGAGAGAGAGATACAGCGAGAGAGGGAACACAAGCAGCGGGAGTGGGAGAGGGAGAAGCAGGCTTCCCGCGGAGCAGGGAGCCCAATGTGGGACTCAATCCCAGGACCCTGGGATCATGACCTGAGCCGAAGGCAGACGCTTAACGACTGAGCCACCCAGGCGCCCCTGCTTGTTCTTTCTATTAACCATGCTACCCCTAGGTGAGATGGGGAAGAGAGAATATTGCTTTTTCAAAATAAATACTCTACAATGAGGATGCATTTTGAAATCTGACAAAGAAAATCTAGAAACCACATAGAATAGTTGCTATATGTCACCAGCCTTGCATATCTGCGATAAATCCCACTTGATTATGGTATAAATTCTTCATATACATTGGTTGACTTGATTTGCTAATATTTTGTTGAGGATTTCTGCATCTATGTTCATGAGAGATATTGGTCTATAGTTTTCTTTTCTTGTAATGCCTTTGTCTGGTTTTGGTATTAGGGTGATGTTGGCCTCATAGAATGAGTTATGAAGTACTCCTTTTGCTTCTATCCTCTGAAAGAGATTGTAGAAAACTGGTGTAATCTCTTCCTTATGTGTTTGATAGAATACACCAGTGAACCTACCTGGGCCTGATGCTTTCTGTTTTATAAGGCTATAAATTATTGATTCAATTTCTTTACTAGATATAGACCTTTTTATATTGTCTATTTCTTCTTGTGTAAGTTTTGGGAACTTGTTTCTTTCAGGTAATCGGTCCATTCATCTAAGATGGTTATCACATTTGTGAGCAGAGTTGTCCATGACTATTACTATTTTATTATCCTTTTAATGTTTATGGAAACTGTAGTGATGTCCCCTCTTTGATTTCTGATATTACTAATTTGTGTCTTTTTTTTTCTTAGACTGGCTAGAGGCTTATCAATTTTATTGATCTTTTCCAAGAAGCAGCTTTCAGCTTCATTGATTTTCTCTATTGATTTCCTGTTTTCCATTCACTGATTTCTGCTCTAATTCTTATTACTTCTTTTCTTCTGCTTACCTTGGATTTAATCTGCTCTTCTTTTTCTGGTTTCCTACAGGGGAAACTTAGGTTATTAGAGTAGTTGCTATATTTTCAATAAGAATCAGAAGAAAGCAACTGGGCTAGTAACAGGAAAAAAGTTATTTTACTGGAGTTAAAAGTGAATGGAATTGAAAAAGCCTTAAAATCTTGAAATGAAAGAAAGAACAAGCACTCACAAAGATCATACTGTACCCCTGAAAACAATATTGCATTGGCAGAGAATAAAACTGTAAGCCCTTAAAAGGACAGGGGAAACCCTAGCAAAATGAAGATTCCTTTTTTTTTTTTTTTTAATATGTATTATTTGAGAGAGACAGAGATAGTGAGAGAGAGCACAAGCAGGAAGGAGGGGGAGAAGCAGACTCCCCGCTAAGCAGGGAGCCCAATGTGGGGCTTGATCCCAGGACCCTGAGATCATGACCTGAGCTGAACGCAGATGCCCAACTGACTGAGCCACCCAAGTGCCCCAAAACTGATGAAGATTAAAGAGAAGACACAAATCACCAAGATCAGGAAACGGCCCATCACAACAGACTCCATAGCCATTCAAAGGATAGTAAAAGAAATACGGTCAACAACTTTATGCTCATAAATTTGACAATTTAGGAGAAATGGACCAATTCCTTCAAATTACAAACTACCAAATGTCTGCCAAGTTGAAATAGACAATTAAGGAAATTTAATTTATAATTAAAAAGTTAAAGGTGAAGTAATCTCCACACCCAGAAGGTATCACTGGGGATTTTACCAAACATTTAAGGAAGAATGAATACCAACTTTAGATAATCTCTTCCAGAAAATGGAACAGGAAGGAACACTTCTCAACTCATTTTATTAGGCCAGCGTTACCCTGATAGCAAAACTAGACAAAGACAGTATGAAAACAGAAAACTACAGGGTAGGGGCGCCTGGGTGGCTCAGTCATTAAGCGTCTGCCTTCAGCTCAGGTCATGATCCCAGGGTCCTGGGATCGAGTCCCGCATCGGGCTCCCTGCTCAGTGGGAAGCCTGCTTCTCCCTCTCCCACTCCCACACCCCCTGCATGTGTTCCCTCTCTTGCTGTCTCTGTCAAATAAATAAGATCTTTAAAAAAAAAAAAAAAAGAAAAGAAAACTATAGGCTAATATCGCTCATGAATTTAGATGTAAAAATCCTCAAGAGAATACTAGCAAACAATGGAGCACCTGGCTGGCTCAGTCAGAAGAGCATGGAACTCTTGATCTCAGGGTCATGAGTTTGAGCCCCATGTTGGGTGTAGAGATTACTCAGATTAAAAAAAAACAAACTGGGGCACCTGGGTGGCTCAGTTGGTTAAGAGTCCGACTCTTGGGTTTTGGCTCAGGTCATGATCTCAGCGTTGTGAGATCAATCCCTGTGTCGGGCTCCCTGACGAGCAGGGAGTCTGCTTCTCTCCCTCTCCCTCTGCACCCCCACCCTCACCCCCAATTCGTGCACGTGCTCTGTCTCTCAAATAAACAATCTTAAAAAAAAAAACTTAAAAAAAAAAAAAGAGTATTAGCAAACAAACTTGGCAATGTATACAAAGAATTATATACCACAACCAAGTGGGATTTATTACAGATACGTAAGGCTGGTTCAATATTTGAAAACCAATCAACCCTATCAACACCCTAAAAAGCAAAAATCATACAATCATATCAATTGGTACAGAAAAAAGGCAGGGATGGGGCGCCTGGGTGGCTCAGTTGGTTAAGCGACTGCCTTCGGCTCGGGTCATGATCCTGGAGTCCTGGGATCGAGTCCCACATCGGGCTCCCTGCTCGGCAGGGAGTCTGCTTCTCCCTCTGACCCTCCTCCCTCTCATGCTCTCTGTCTCTTATTCTCTCTCTCTCAAATAAATAAATAAAATCTTTAAAAAAAAAGAAAAAAGGCAGGGAGAATGTCACTTTATTCATCACCACTTTCTATATTTCCCAAGCAAATGTAGCCTTCCCAAATCTTGTGTTAACAACCCCATATAACAGATGATCAAAACCCAGAGAGAGAAAAAAAGTGACTAATGCAATGGGCACATTTTAACCACATACCTTTCCTCCTGTGAATAAAAGGGCTCCATTCCTAAGTCCTGCCACCAGGGACATCAGCTGTCGAGACAAAGGGCGTCCCAGGAGGCTATGAGTGATGTGTTCCATGGAGGATACACCTAAGGAATTCACTCCTCTGCAAAATATATACATTGTTGCATGATAAAACACTGAAGCAGGATAAAATCCAGCTGTAAAAAATTCTGTAACTTTCCTTCCCAGGCTGGTTAATGATTTTTAAAAGAGTAAAATGTGGAAATTTTCCCTTACTTGAAAGTATATTGAATTAATGCCAAATCTGAGTTAACACCTTTTAAAATTAGTTTTATTACTTTCAAACATGTACAGTAACTAGAAGTTTTGTCTGAACAGGGCATCTTAAGGAATTTGTCTTAACACACACGGACACCCCTCTCAAAATGATTTTTGGTTTGGTAATCAACATAATCATAAATGCGTGCATTTGAAGAGTTAGGATAATTGCAGACTGATTTCCTCTTAAACTCAGCCTTTGAAATCCAGTTTCAATTTGTAGATTATACAAGCACGAACTTCAACCTACTTCCTGACTCTAGCACTTTCTTTCTGATAATAAATATAAATTCCTAAAATCAGAGTCTGAAGAGATTTTACTTTCAACATGAATAATATGCTGTATTTAAACATTGTTACTTTATGGTTTAATCCTTTTATTAGCACATTTACAGACTATACTATTACAGGAAATCAAATCACTACCACTACAACTACAAAAAGCTTCTGTGAAGAATGGGAAGATGTAATGATTATAGGAGATTCTCATATTGCATAAGAGATAAAGAAATTAAAAGGGGGTTCTTTTCAGACTTGTTTGGTTTTAAAAGTTAAGGAAAACACAAATAATCCTAATTAGTAAATTAGTAAGATAGTTGAAGGAATAACTTAATTTGAAATATTTTTAAACATTCAAATAATATTTTTGGATTTAATGTTTAAAATAAATGTATTAGCTCTAAGAAGTACTGTTTTATTCAAGCACATATGATCCGAGTCATACCCAGTTGCTTCCTTCTCACAAATCAAATCTCAAAGCAAAATTTCTAATAAGCTTCAGCCCTTTATGTAGTTACCTAAGAAGACAAGGCAAATTACCACGCAAGGTGTGAAAATAGAAACAATCCTTGAAAAAGTATCTATAAATGCATTATTAAGATTATTCAATATTAACATCTACTTTAATGTTCATACATAAAAACCCTGCCAGATCATGTCAAACATGACTGTAAACATACTAGTTTGGCCAGAACTTCTTACCCCAAGCACTTCAGCTTTAAAAAAGGAAGAATAAAGTCAATTTCCTCACTGTTTTCTTCTTTTACCATAGGGTCTAGAAGGACCTATAGTAGCAAGGAAAAATCAGTTTTACATTTCAAAGTTATATCTTTGGCCTGTTTTTCTCAGGTCCCAGGAAACTGAATTACTGATTCTGTTACACAGAGAGAAAAGACACATTGTGCATGCAAGATCATTACTCAAAATAGCCTTCACAACAATAATTTACTCAACCAAGGAACAAAAATATTTATGGTCAACAACCAGTAAAGGATGTCATCTCCTTCATACATTTTAAGGACACATCTTTATTTGCAATTTTGATGTGTGTCATATATACTCTTCACAGGTCTTACATTTTTACCTCCTCTGAATGGTATTCTCCTTCAGCTTTATTTCAAAAGTAGAGAGACAATGTCTAGTTTCCAACCATTCAAATTCTAAACAACTAGAGCATCTTTAATCCTATAACAATAAGAGTGAATATCCTAACGAAAACCTAATATTCTAAAAAGACCACTTATAAAATCCTTCTGGAAGAAAAGTGATCTGATAATACTTGTTAGGAGCTGAGAATTTAAGAACTGCCAAAATAATATGGGTTATTGCAAATATGGGTTACAGCAAAGCTGCAAGTAAAAATATGAATTTAAAAAATCAAACCCCTAAAACTAAGTTTTCCTGCGCTTCAATACTAGAATAATATGAAATCATGATTCATTTGCCAGTTAACACAATCAATTCTATTCTTGAAACTTAATTGTGCATTGATTTTAAGTTTAGGACAAATCAATTTGTTTAGATAAGTTAAAGAGACTCTATAATAAAATATTTTAAATCAAGTTATTCCTTACTCTTATTCACATTTCTAACACACTTCAGGATGCAAAGTCTTACAGGTAAACTCATACTTTATTATCGATCCTATGTGCCAAATATTATTTCATTAAATATTCAATAGTACGTGATTACTTGTATTGTGGTCTTCTGCAGCAGACTAGTGCTCAACAAAAAAATGTTTTCTTTTTCTTTTTCCCAAGAATGAACTATATTTAGAGAAAACTCCTTCAACCCTATCAAAAAAAAAAAAAAGGCAATAAATGTAGAGTTAGCACTGAAGCAGAGATGAAATAATTTAAGATTTAAATTTATTTAAAGAAAGGTATTCTTTGATATGTAAAACCATTTACTTATCATTATATTTCCTGTCCACACGTATGACAGGTTGGAAAAATCACGAACACTTCTTCAATAGGAAAAATACCAAAATGACACAATGTACCCACCGCCTTCAATTCTCAGCTTAATGTATTCTTCCTCTGACAGTATCAAAGGAAGCGAAGTGGTAGTACGCTGCTGTAGCCATGAAGAGAACACAGTCTTTACATCTTCGTCACTTACACCTTTAGGCTGCCAGAGCAAAGGGAAGAACAGTAATGAATTATCCAAACACCTAAGTGAACGTTAACATCTAGCTTAACACCTCATCGTGCTAATGATATGTAAACCTCGATACAGCTGATGCACCTTAAACAAGCCTCTTAATCTCTCCGAGCCTTGTTCGCCTCACGTAAGAACCATTAGCTGGTGTCCATTAGGAGGAGACTGGTCAATTAGGTCAATCACGGAATATACCCATTCAGCAACAGTTGGGCACAAGTGATTACATGTGCTAGTTCAGGATGCAACGAGCCTGGCATGACCATTTATTATCTGTGTAAGTGTGTGCAAATTAGTAAAACTGTCTGAACCTCAGTTTTATAATCTATTAAATGGGAACTACTAAAAAATAATTAAAAAAAAAAAAAAAAAGCACACCTTACCAAACAAAACCAGGAAGGATGTTCGTATTTATAGGCACAGATTTGGGATTTGACATTACAGGACAAGCAGGACAGTGCAGCCTGAAGAGACATTTACAGGGGCGCCTGAGTGGCTCAGTTGGTTAAGTGTCTGACTATTGATTTCGGCTCAGGTCAGGATCTCAGGGTCATGAGACTGAGCCCCACATTGGGCTCCACACTGGGCATGGAGCCTGCTTAAGATTCTCTCTCTCCCTCTCCTTCTATCCCTTCACCCCCTCGCTCTCCCTCTCTTAAAAAAAAAAAAAAGAGCAAAAACAAAAAACCATTTACAGAAGTGGTGAAATTTTAAACACTCCTTATCTCTATGACCAGTGATACATGTACCATGGTTTGGCTCACTGGATCACCATTCCAACCCCATTCTCCCTTGCCTCCCTCCATTAACGAGGTGGGAAAGAAAACTCCATTCCCAACCTGGAGCTGTGTGTGCGCCTGCATTGTGACCAATGGTGTACAATCAGCAATCATTGGGAAGGGCTTCTCCTCCTAATCGAAAGGTAGAGAAACCTTGCAGAGAAGGCTTTTACTTTGAGCCTTTCCTTCTGCTGCCAAGAATGCAGATGTGATACCTATTAGTACAGCAAATGCCTTGCATCTAAGAGGAGGAAAGCTACAGGCTAAGGATGGCAGAAAGACCAAAGGAGCCTAGATCCTTGATGACATAGTTTAACTACCTCTGAGCTCCTCCAAACTTCTTCGTACATGAGAAAAATAGGCTCTTTATATGCTGAAGTGACTTTTTTTTTTCTGTTAAGCAGGCCACAGTGTTATACTCAATAAGTACAGTGTTAATAAACTGGAATGAAGAAATTCTAAGAGAAACACTATTAATTTTTAAAGTTTTAAAATCAGAATTAAGTTTTTAAAACCTATTTGAAGCTAAAAACAGGAATACCCAAAAATTCATGTAGGAAAGATCATTAATATGTGCCTAGGAAAATAAACCTCTATTCATTCTACCATTTTTCAGCTGGTCCATTTCTGTTCTCTCCTCATCCAGTGTCATGCTAGGTCTGCTGATTAAGCTCAGTTTAGAACCTGATCACTACAAAAAGCAAGCTAAACTAAGTACAGGCATTGCTTTCATACTCTTAAAGATCACAGAAATAGTCTGTTTGGATATTACTGGGCAATGGGATTAAAGACCTAAAGGAAGAGCGGCTGGCTGGCTCAGTCAGTGGAGTATGCAAGTCTTGATCTTGGGGTCATGAGTTTGAGCCCCACGTTGGGCACAGAGCTTACTTAATTTAAAAAAAAGCCAAATTATCCATGTTTGCATCGGCACAATATACATATGTGTTGCTTACTAAAGATTTCTTGGTTTCTCAAAAAGTTGAACAGAATTACCATAAGATCCAGGAACTCAGGGTGCCTAAATGGCTCAGTTGGTTAAGCGTCTGGCTCTTGATTTGGGCTCAGGTCATGATCTCAGGGTTGTGAGATCAAGCCCCACGCTGGGCTCTGTGCTGGGCGTGGAGCCTGCTTAAGATTCTCTTTCCCTCCCCACCCCCACCCAGCTCTCCCTCTTTCCTTAAAAAAAAAAATCTATCTATCTATCTATCTATCTATCTATCTATCTATCTCTCTCTCTCTCTCTCAATTCAACTCCTAGGTATACACCCAAAAGAACTCAAAGCAGGGACTCAACAGATACTTGTATACTAACGTCCATAGCAGCATCACTCACAATAGCCAAAAAGGTGGAAACAATCCAAGGGTCCATCAACAGATGAATGGACAAACAAAATGTGGTATATGCATAAAATGGAATATTATTTCGCCATAAATAGGAATGAATACATTCTACAACCTGGACGAGCCTTAAAAACATGTTAAGTGAAATAAATCAGATGCATGGGACAAATATTATTGGATTCCACTTATATGAAATAACTAGAATATGCAAATTCATAGAGAGAATATAGATTACAGGTTACCAAGAGCTGGGAGAACAGGGGATGGTGCATTATGGCTGAATGGGCACAGAGTTTCTGTTCGGGGGCTGGGAAAGTTTTGGAAACTGAGGGTGGCGATGATTGCACATAATGAATGTAATTAATGCTGCTGAATTGTACACTTAAAAATGGTTAAAATAGCATTCTGTTAGATATATTTTCCCACAACAAAATAAAACAAAGACTTCTTTGCCCTTCTAGCAAAAAGGAATACAACATTCCTGTTACTTGGCCAAAGCAGCTAGAAATTTTACATGACATGTAAAACAACTGTGATAGAACATAAATTTGAACTCACTAAGTTTTCTCTAGGTTGTAATTTTAGAGATCTTGGAATTTTAGGGGTAATTTCCACTGGAGTTATTCTGACTACTGCATGCATTTCTATATTTAGTCTCTTTCTCAGGTCATCTGGAATCTGAAATTTAAAAATAGATATATAAATATGTGAAAACTTGATTTAAAAATATCCCACAGCATACATAGTTATTAACTTCTATGAATTCAGGTAAATTGATGGAAGTTATCAAGATTCATAAGAGTAACCAGATGGGTATTCAGGCACTGTTTTATCACAAGCATTTCCATTTTTCCCCTTCGTTTCTTTATTTCCACACCCTCTTCGGAATGAGATCCATCAATCTGGATCTCTCAAGTCAAGCCTGCTTGAGGACTGCCACTCCTCGGTGCCCATAGCCACCAACCTTTCAAGTGGGGTGGGAAGTGTGGACACCTCGCTGCCATCTTATATGGTCCCTAGGCCTCCACCTGGCACTTCTTCACCCTGTCCTCACCATGTGTTTTCAAGGAAAAAAATGGGATTGCCACCAAACGGCAGAACCATTAATAGAAAAGAGAAGTCCTAACCAGTTCAGTGTTAGACATTTTTATTTTGAAGATGCAGCAGGATCTCCTAAACTAAGAGTTTAGAGCTAACGGAAAATAATGAGCTGACGGTCTGGAATTTTAGCAAACGATGTAGGCCAAAGAGATGAAAACTTTGTCAGTTGCCAACACAGAGGTCAGAAGTGAAACTGGCAATAAAAGAAATCTACAAAGGAGATCCCCTTCCTCTATTTTTCTTCCTTGTCCTAGTAATTTCCTCCCTTTATCACCATAAAGTCTCGCTTCACAATGGCTCAAATTAAGTTCAAATAAAAGGGGCTGGTGACTCGGTCCACATAAACTAAGCATTACTATCTGAGACCAGAATGAGAAGGTGGACACTGGTCACTCTCCTCCCCTCCACAGTCCCACAAAGAGCGGATTCCAGCAGGGTAAGCAGCTTCTGGGTACACCCCTCACGCTATGGGTCTCTCCCTACCTCGGTACTGCCCTCAAGTCACAGCAAGTCCTTCCTTGGCTTTCAGGAACTGGGGAACAAACCTTCTGCAGGCATTAAAGATGTGAAGCTTTGTAAGGCACCCCATGCTAAGCGTGAACTTGACAGTCAGCCTGCCTGGGTGTGAATCCTAGTTGTACTTACTGTGTGACTCAGGCAAGTAATTTTGACCTCTCTGGGCCTGTATCTTACAGCTGTCCGAGTTTCCTTAACCAGAAAATACGCAATCTTCACCCAAACAAGGACTTTACCTGCAATCATAAATGTGTCCCTGCAGGGACTTTAGACACTCTTTCTTACTGTACTGATTTTCAAATTGTATATAAAATATTATTCTAATACATAATCTGAAGAATTTCAAGCAACATGAAATTGCTTTCTCCCTAATAATACATTTTATACTAACCCAGACTTTCCCAAGATGAAGAGCTTCTACAGTTTTGGTGTATTTGATGGCATTCTTCAATTCCTCAAGTCCATTCCAGACTACCTGTAGCACACAGGCCTTAGCTGCTTCCGAGCTGATCGGGTTTTGATCTAGTGGTTCTAAGATCTGCTTCTCTTTTTCAGGTGACAGGACATTTTGTTTTGTTTTACGTTGCTTTGGAGAAAATAGCTTAATTAGCTTCCCGTAGGTCACAGTAAAGCTGGGCTCCACATCAAAATATTCCTGGTCCCATGGAAATACATGAACGGCACAGTGTCTGTGAAACTCCGAAGTTGCTCTTGTGTTACACATACTGGGAGGCTGCGATTTGCACACTCTGAAAATATTGTCTAGGGGAACAACTTTGGACTGCATAGTTTTGAATGCATTCATTTCAGTTAAACCCCAGGATAGCTCCGATTTCTTCTCAGACCCAAAAGAAAAAATGCTTCCTATCACAGTCCATAAGCTTGGCATGGATGGTGAGCCAGTGGTCACCCCTGAGTCTGTCTTATTAGACCCAGTGCCTGTTAATCCTTTTTGGTCTCCTCCGGAATTATGAAATTTCCCATGTGCATTATCTGCTTCTGAAAATGTATTCTCCTTGGCTTGGCGGGTCTTTGGCTGAATAAGGAGTTTAGTGTCCGTTTCCAGCCTTCCATAAGCAGCTGCTGGTGTTAGTGCAACTGTGTGGGGGAAGCAAGCCATCAGTACACATTCACCTCTGCCAAGGGCTCAATGCTACAGTGTAGAACACAATGGAAAGTCCAACAGCACCTACCAGTTTGGATAAATATGTAGGTCTGCTGATCAACCCAGACAGGAAAAACGGCTTTTGGAAAAACTATTCGAATTTGATCCAGAAGATGCTGTTCAAGGGAAGCAGCATGCAGCTCCTACAACCAACCAACAAAAAGATCTATTCACTTTACCTTTTGTCATTCCACGTCTAGGAAGGAAATCACAATTCATTCTTCTAACTTGAACCAACTCAGAATACATAATGTAGCTCAGAAAAGAGAAATCTAAAGACACTGATACTTTGGCTTCCAGTTATGGAATGATTAAGTCACAGGGATAGAAGGCACAGCATAGGAAACATAGTCAGTGGTATCATAATGGCACTGTCTGGTGACAAATGGCAACTATACTTGTTGTGAGCACAGCAAGACGTACAGACACTGAATCACTATGTCGTACACCTGAAACTTCAGTGACATTGTGTGTCAACTATACTTCAATATAAACAAACAACTATGCTGAAGTAGTTTAACGTTAAACTGGGCTGGTTCTCATTGTATTTTCTTTACCAGTATCTCCCAGTCATCTGCTGAGAGGGGTTCCACCTCGACTTGCTGACAAGACACCACATGGGAACACAGCTTGAGAAACACCTGGAAAAAATGGAAAATGTAAAACTACTTTTAAAAGACTTTTTGTATCCCTAGGAAATGAGAAGTTCTCTTTAGGTAAGTAAGTGTGAGCGAGTGAATGAGTGCGCATGTGTGCCTCTATGTATTGTATAGATCTCCACTGGACAAATATTTATTAAGCACTTATTCTTAGGTAGGCCTTGATATACTCAACATTTTAGGAAAAAACTGTCTCATGACTAATTATAGAAAAAAGGAAAATATATCCTAGCACAACATATTTTTTTTTAATTTTTTTTTTTTAAAGATTTTATTTATTTGCGAGAGAGAGAATGAGAGACAGAGAGCATGAGAGGGAGGAGGGTCAGAGGGAAAAGCAGACTCCCCGCCGAGCAGGGAGCCCGATGTGGGACTCGATCCCGGGACTCCAGGATCATGACCTGAGCCGAAGGCAGTCGCTTAACCAACTGAGCCACCCAGGCGCCCTAGCACAACATATTTTTTAAAAAATAAAGATAAGGGGCGCCTGGGTGGCTCAGTCTGTTAAGCGTCTGCCTTCAGCTCGTGATCCCAGGGTCCGGGGATCGAGCCCATGTTGGGCTCTCTGCTCGGCAGGGAGCCTGCTTCTCTTCCTCCCTTTGCAGCTCCCCCGGCTAGTTCCCTCTTTCTGTCAAATAAATAAATAAAATCTTTGAAAAAAAAAATGTTAAGAAGAAACAATAATGACATCAAGTCATGGCTTGATCTAATATATATACACTATTATTTATAAAAGTTTTTTTTTTTTTTTAAAGATTTTATTTAGTTATTTGACAGAGAGAGAGAGATAGTGAGAGCTGGAACACAAGCAGGGGGAGTGGGAGAGGGAGAAGCAGGCTTCCCGCGGAGCAGGGAGCCCGATGTGGGGCTCGATCCCAGGACCCTGGGACCATGACCTGAACCGAAGGCAGACGCTTAACAACTGAGCCACCCAGACGCCCCTTATTTATAAAAGTTTTATGACTTAGTTTTATAACTAACCTCAAACCATGGTGCTTCTAGAAAAGTAAAAAAAAAAAAAATGCAGAGACAGAGATCAGAGCCAATTACTTACAAGTATAAACATTCACAGCTAGAAGTAAAGTAAAACAAATGTGTCCTCATTCCAGTCTATGGATATATATGAAATGCTAGTGTATCTCAAGAAGCTGGAATCCACCACCTTACTTTCTTTCCCCCCTTCTATAGGCATTTCTGGAGATTGAGGAGTAAAATCCAAAACCACCAAGTGTTACAGGCTCCAGTGAACCAGCCCTTCCTTCTCTGCTTTTGTGGATTGGAGCCAAATTTCCCCAAATGCCTCACCATCAGTGAATCTCCCTTCAGCATCTCCCATATGCCCTATTTGAAAAAAGTGATTCTGGGGGTGCCTGGGTGGCTCAGTCATTAAGCGTCTGCCTTCGGCTCAGGTCATGATCCCAGGGTCCTGGGATCGAGCCCCACACTGGGCTCCTAGCTCAGCGGGGAGCCTGCTTCTCCCTCTCCCTCTGCCTGCTGCTCCCCCTGCTTGTACTCTCTCTCTCTCTGTCAAATGAAAAATTAAATATCTTTAAAAAAGAAAAGAGTGATTCTGGGAAAGTACAAAGCAGCTCCTGCCCACCAAGAAGCTATAATCCTGGGTAAGCCAGTCCACTTTGTTCCTATTCTTTGGGAGATAGTGCCTTAGGCACAATACACAGAGGATCCGCAGAAAATCCGGTAAAAGCTCACTCTGAAGCAAAGAGGCATTAAAAACACACAAGACTGTTCGGAGGCTGATGAAGACATCAAGGTTGGGAACAGGAAGCTGGTGTTTCCCACGGGGAAGGACCACATACTTGAAGCGAGCAGAACTTTAACTTGTTATGCAATCCTGGGCAAATTGTTCTATTTCCCTAGGTTTGTAGAGCAAGGCACCTAAATTAGTGATACCTAGGGTCGCTGTGGTGCTAAAGTTTTAAGATTCTACCAAAGATTTAGGGTGAGCAAAGGACTAATAGTAGGCCTATGGATTTGTCATTAGTGGCCTATTCTCATTATCAAAAATGTGCAAAATCAGTCTGTGTTCAAAACAAGTTAAAAAGATGTGATGTTCTTGGATACTGTTGTGGGAAACTGGAAATAGAATGCAATTTAGCCCCATTTACCAAAATTTTAAATATGCAGCCCCCTAGACTCTGCAATCCAATTTGTAGTATTTTATTCCATATATATATATATATATATATATGTATATGTATATATATACACAAAGATGTTCAATGCATATTGTTTGTAATACATGGAAAGGTATCTCTGATATACTTTGTGGGGGGAGAAAACTGCAGAAAATGTGTATGTTCCCATTCTTTAAATCCTAAAGGTGTACTGAGATCCCAACATACAGTACATACTCATTCTAAGGCTGGGGTTAAAGAAAGAGAAAAACATTTTTTTACTCTCACTTGTAAAATATTTGTAATGAATGTGTATTACTTCTGTAGTTTAACATACTTAGAAGGGAATAAATTGGTGAATACAATAAAATGAAAACACAGACATAAGTCCTAAACCTAGGGGTTTACAACCTAAGCATATTAAATTCATAGCCAAGACAAAAATAGAAAAATAACAACTCTTTTGTTGGACAGTTTCAAGTATGACCCTGGAAGGTTAGAAGATTTGCCAGAAACAAATGAAGTTCAATAACAGTAAGTAAAACTCAATAATTCATAAAGCAAAAATAATTACATACAAAATTAGAGAACCTGGAAAGTGAGTAAAATAGAACTCAAATTCAAGTAGGGAGCAGACCACAAGATAATGACTTAACAACAGTATATAGTTAACTTGAATATCCTGGACTGGTTACAGTAGCACACAAATTAGGTGTCATCTCACCTCCTTAAAAAAATTAATCTGAACATTTTCTTCCCATTGCTATATTATGTGACATTAGGAGAAAGTCATAGTCATCACATTTTGTACTTACCTGGTCCCCATTTGAGAGTCCAAGTTTCTGACCAACTTGTCTGTTAATTTCAGCCACATTTTCGCCTTGATCACTAAAATGCCTACCTTCCACCCAACTCAAGAATGCAGGCTGGTGACCCCAGGTCACTTCTATAGCTTGATTCTGTTTATTCAAGAAATAAGAAAGGGGGTAGGGAGAAGAAATAAGAAAGGAGGGGTGAGAGTTTTTATACGCTTTTCTGGATTCACATAAAAGATAAACTATTATTGCAACCCACACATAAAAAAAGAGTTCTACAGATGGATGGTAGCTCTCTGTTAGAGCATTTAAAAAGCTATAAACAGGACACCTGGGTGGCTCAGATGGTTAAGCATCTGCCTTCGGCTCAGGTCATGATCCCGGGGTCCTGGGATTGAGTCCTGCGTCGGGCTCCCTGCTCTTTGGGAGCCTGCTTCTCCCTCTGCCTCTCTCTCTCTCTCATGAATAAATAAATAAAATCTTAAAAAAAAAAACCTATAAACATTTCTAATAACCAAAGCTGGTGCTGCTATGGGTGAAACCAATACCTTGTTTTCTTATTATTTTTTAAAGATTTTATTTATTTATTTGACAAAGAGAAACACAGTGAGAAAGGGAACACAAGCAGGGGGAGTGGGAGAGGGAGAAGCAGGCTTCCTGCCTAGCAGGGAGCCCGATGTGGGGCTCATGTGGGGCTCGATCCCAGGGATCATGACCTGAGCCGGAAGACGCTTAACAACTGAGCCACCCAGGCGCCCCTCCCTTGTTTTCTTATGATGCAAATTCATTCAACCACTCCAAAATTCAAAATGGCAATAGGTAGCCAATGAATTTACCTAAACTCTGAGCCATGTATATATATATACACACACACACATACTTATTCTGAATTAATGATTCGAAGAAGAAAACCACACCAGAACGTATCTCTGCAGTATTTTCTATAACAGTGAAAACTTAGGACTGTCTTAAATGTCTATTAACAGGAAAATTATTAAATGAGCTACAAATTTACTATTTTAGTAAAGCATGAGTCAGTAAGTAGAAATATATGATCATTAAAAATGTAACAGTATTTGTTTATTAGAAGAGAATAAATGTACATGGTAAAAGCACAAAAATTACAAAAAATAAAAGAAGCTAGGTTCCTGTTCCCACAGGTAATTACTGTTAATAGTTTCTTTTTTTTTCTTTTTTTCTTTTTAAAGATTTTATTTATTTATTTGACAGAGAGAGACAGCGAGAGAGGGAACACAAGCAGGGGGAGTGGGAGAGGGAGAAGCAGGCTCCCCGCAGAGCAGGGAGCCCGATGCGGGACTCGATCCCAGGACCCTGGGATCATGACCTGAGCTGAAGGCAGTCGCTTAACCAACTGAGCCACCCAGGCGCCCTGTTAATAGTTTCTTATGTACATTTCCAGAAATTTTATATTACACAGCTTCTTAAATAATTCTGAAAGTTTTACAACTATGGAATTATAAGTACAAAAATCAAAATATAAAAGGCATTCCCATTAAGATCAATTATATGAAATAAGTTTGTGACTAAGGACTTAGAAAACAATGTTTTCTATGATTAAAGAATTACAAACTCATTACCGAAACCTTAAAAAATATATAAACTTGGAAGAAAAAAGGAATTACTGATACTCCCTCCACAAGACAACCACATGAACAATTTTGTCTAGCTAATCCTGTTTTCTATGCAAAATCTTTTAAATAGTTGTATATTATAGTCATGATTTAGTATCCTTTTCCCCACTTAGCATTGTATCCTAAGCTCTTGCGCACACATATCATTTTTTTAGTAAAAAGTAAGGACTTCATTAATAGCCATCAAAACTTACCCATCTCAGGGAGTTTTAGTATTTTGAAAGTCATTTACTTATATCAAAATAAATTCATTCATTTACATCAAACTTTACTACCTCAAAACTGATCATATAGGCCGCTGTTTCTTTAAATAGGAAAAATTTCAAAGGATGTTGGAGCCACTTCTGATGCAATATAACGTACTTTAAATTAGCCATGTTATTAAAATGTCATTAAAACTTTGTATAGAAGAAAGTCATCATGTACCACTTGTGTAATTTTTCCCACAATTCACAGGATAGTCCAACCGCTCAGGGTAACAAAACCCTTCCATCACGCACAGTGTGATAAAGTATACAGAGCCCTGGATTTGGAGTCAAATTCCAAATTCACTTGTCAGCTGTGTGTGAGCTGAGGTTACAAGGGTGAAGATGACCAACTGGCCATGTGCTTTCACACTCTTTCATCAGACTCTGTGGCATATAATTTCATGAGAAGAAACTTTCAAAACCAGAGATGTTAAGTAAGGAAATACAAAATATGCCCTGAAATATCAAAGAGGAGGGTTCCACCAACTCACTGGAAAAGGGGAAAATCAACTTTATTAAATAGGAAAAATACTTCAGCTATTCATTTGGTCAAAACGTAGTAACCAGCTCCATAGTCATAATATATGTTCAGTTGGATTTAGTAAACTTTGCAGACTAATATGAGTCCATTTTCATATAAAACCTTTCCCACCTGAACCACAGAACCTCAGATAAAGAGAAGAAACCAACAGACTGAAGAGAAAGGAGCCTGGGCTTCTCAGGAGGTCAATCAACAAAGACTGACCACCTGCTTCTGCCTATACCTGTGGTACTGGTATCACCTGGAGGGAACTTTCAGGTGGAATCACAGGTGGTCAGGCCTTAGGACCGGCCAGATCTGAGGCCTGGCTTCTCCCCTGCTAACACAAAAAGAAATGACAAGTCTGCACCTGGCCATTTCTGGAGGGCGATTTAGGTTTATCTGTCTGCATTCAGTGTGGATGTGAATCCTTTCCCCCATTTCAGCAATCACAGCAAGCACTGAGCCCAGCATACAGACAAAATAACTGAATTAAAGCAACGGCTCTCAACTAGGGGCGATTTTTGTTCCCCAGGACACATCTGGCAACGTGTGGAGCCACATGGAGACGTGGTTTTTTTTGCTATCACTACTGAAAAGGAGTTGTGTTACTGGCATCTAGTGGACAAAGATCAGAGATCCTGTTAAGTATCTTACAATACCCACCACAGTCCCCCACAACAAAAAATTATCCAGCCTAAAGTGCCAAGGTTAAAAAATCCTGAGTTAAAGCATCTACTGGGTATCCAGTCCTGAAATAAGGACTTGGATAAGCAAAAGACGATACTTGAAACACAGAGTACAAGTGAGATGTGTCACATAAACACAACAGTGAAGTTTTGAAAAGGAGACAAATGTGAACAACCCAGAATTTGAAAGCTAGGCAGAGGAGGTAAGATTATGCTCAGCTTTTGAAGGCATGAAATGAAGAAAAACGTTTTGGGGAGAAAGAATAGCATGAGTAAGAGTACAGAAGTAGGAAGGAGCTGGGTTATGAAAGAACAGTGAGAAGACCAGTCTGGATGCTGCAGAGTAAGAGACAAGAGGACAAATTACCTGGAAATGGTACCCACCTAGAAGGGCTAGTTTCCTAACATGTGAAAGTACAGAAATGATCTAGAAACCGCAGGTCCCTTTCGCCATCAACATTCTATGATTCTGTAACAGTAGGTCTCAATTCTTGTGCATCCAAGTAGCCCAAAGATATTTTTTAAATTACAGATGCCTGAAGCTCACTCCCCAAGATTCTGATTCAGTAAGTCTGAGAAAGGACCAGAACATTCGTATTTTGAAAAGCTTAAAGGTAAATCTGACACAGGCCAGGAAACTATTCTTCTGACCCTCTTCCCATTACAGCATTATAGGTATTATGTACTCCATGCTTCAGCCCAAATAAAACAATTCAACACATTAACTCCCAACTCATGACTTCCTGCTTTAATAATTACCTATGCCCTCTAAACCAATAATGCTAGGGGAAAAATAATCTAGAAAAATAGTTCCAGAAAAGTAAAGTGGAAAGGTGGGATACTTAAAATTAATGTAAACTCTTAAATACGCACTCCTGCATGATTAGCCAGTGGTGGGTACCATGCATCCAGGATTTCAAATATTCTATCCCTTTGCCCGCATAAGCATACTCAAGCTCAGAGACTATGTGCTTCCATTTCTAGTTATGAAAGCGCAGATGCTGTATCTCTTTTAATAATTAATTAGAAGGGTAACGGCAGGGGTTCAAGTATCCTACCTATGTACTTCCAAATATGCGTAATTCTGCGCATTTCTGGTACACCTCGGAACTGTTCCAAGCATCAGCGACACAGGGAAGAACCTTATTTTATTAACCTACCCCGCTCGGGGGAGACGGTGCTCAGTCCCTGTTAACGAACCCTGTTAACCTACTGGGACTCTGCAAACCAAATCTGCCCCTCCCTCTGGAGGCCGGGACGGCAGCCGTGCAAGCACCTGGAAATCACTAGCAAGAAAAACATTTTTTTTTTTTTAATTAAAAAAAAAAATTAGCGAATTTCCAGGAGCTTTTCCAAACTGGAGAAATATTTCTGAATGCAGACGTAGAGTATTAGGATGCTTGAAAGCCCAGTCTCACCGAGTGAAAACACCTGAAAACAGGGCAAGTTAAAGGCCCAAGGCTGCACTAAGCGTGGTGTGGGCTGCAGAGCCTGCCCCCGCCGGCCTTGCCCTCGAGCGGCCCTCAGTCTGGCCTCTGAACGGCTCGGTGGCGACGAAAGGCAGCCCGTGCCACGCCTCCCAGAGACGTGAGGGCCGCCGCGTCCCTAAAAAGTCTTGGCCCCGTCCGACCCCAGGCTGCCAACCAGGTGTCCCGAGTCTGGGCTGGGAGCCCCCGTCCAGGGCCGGTGCGTTACCTGCAGCAGGTGCAGCTGGGCCACGAGGCGCCGCGGCAAGTGGAGGAAGCAGTCGCGAGCGTTGGTGAAGACCACAGTTACCGCTACCCCACCACTCTCCGCACCCGCTAGGCGATCGCTGCCCCACATTGCGGACGAGCGAGGAGCAGCCCCCAGCCGTCCACTCAAGCCGACGGGGGCCACTGGGCAGACCGAGGGCGTCGGAGCCAGAGAAGATCGATCGGCCCCGCCCACCTCGCCGCGCGCGCCCGGACGAGGAGGGGCGAGCAAGCTGCTCCAGCTCTCCGAGGTCTCTCCGCCAGGCCGCTGGAGGGCGGCACCTCGTTCACCGAAGACTCACTCACAGGAAACGATGCCCGACGCTGTCGATTCTCCAGCCAATCCCGGCACGCCTTGACCCATCTTCCTCTCTTATTGGGTGAACAGGAACGCGGCGAGCCGGATGTTGTCATTTTTGCAAGGGCCAAAATAGGCAAGATGGCGTCGAGCGGCGGGGAGCTTGGAGGCGTATTTGACCACCACGTCCAGAGGGCTGTGTGCGACACGCGGGCCAAGTATCGGGAGGGGCGGCGGCCTCGTGCTGTCAAGGTAAAGTGATTTTGGTTTCATTCGCTATTCCTGATAGCTTTTTCTTAGCTCTAGCTCCACATGTCCAGTTTATGTAAATAGAGGCTTGAAGGGCTGCGGTCCTGTCCATCAGTCATTGGAGATGGGTATGAGAAACCGGTACTCAGTGACCAAAGATTCTCACGAACCCTTTGGTCAACTGCTATAACGTCAGCTCCGGAAGGACAGGGCTTTGTTTTAGTCATTGTATCTTCCGTGTTTACAGTAGTGCTTGGCGCATGGTAAGCACTCAGTGAATCTTTGTTCTCTCTCTCTAGTAACTTCTTCTGAGCCAACTTCTGCAAAATATGTCGACTGAAGATAGTCTCTGTTTTAATTAGAGGCCCTCACACGGAGGGGTGAATTTATTCTTTATTTTTTCTGCAGACCGGCTGAACGGAATGTTTCTTCTTTTCAGAGCTTTTAAGTTTTTAATTTTAATTCCAGTATAGTTAACATACAGTGTTATATTAGTTTCAGGTACAGTGTAATGATTCAGCAATTCTGTACATTACTTAGTGCTCAGCATAAGTGTAGTCTCTAATCCCCAGAGCTTTTTTTTTTTAATAGAAGATATGTCTTACAATTATCATATGGTTTCACTTATTTGTGGAACATAAGGAATAGCATGGAGGACATTAGGAGAAGGAAGGGAAAAACGAAGGGGGTGAAATCAGAGGGCAAGACGAACCGTGAGAGACTATGGACTCCGGAAACAAACTGAGGGTTTTAGAGGGGAGGGAGGTGGGGCGATTGGTTAGCCCGGTGATGGGTATTAAGGAGGGCACGTATTACATGGAGCACTGGGTGTTATATGCAAACAATGAATCATGGAACACTACATCAAAAACTAATGATGTAATATATGGTGACTAACATAACATAATAAAAAATTATTTAAAAAAAGAAGATATGTCTTAGGTTTATTCGGAAAATACCTTTTTATGTGTTTGCATTTCTTTTAGGTATATACAATCAATTTGGAATCTCGGTACTTGTTAATACAAGGAGTTCCTGCAGTGGGAGCAATGAAGGAATTAGTTGAGCGATTTGCTCTATATGGTGCAATTGAACAGTATAATCCTCTAGATGAATACCCAGCAGAAGACTTTACAGAAGTTTATCTTATTAAATTTATGAATTTACAAAGTGCAAGGTAATGTGCAAGTTAAGCATAAGTTTCATTTCCTCCATTCCCATTGCTATCACTTTGGTCCCAGTTGTCCCTCATTCATACCTGAATTACTCAGTAACCTAACATGGCCCTGTATTATTTTTATCTTACTCCAGTCTCAAATGTCATTCCCATGCTTAACAGCCTTTGGTCATGTATTGTGGTAGATTAAAAAATGGGTTTGAGGTAAGTTTTCGAACTCCACTGCTTACTAAAATCACGACTTTGGACAAGTTATTTAACCTCAATAAGCCTGTTTTTTCTATTCTATGAAATCTGTATGGTGAAAGAACCTATCTTGGGGGTTGTGTGGGGATGGTATGAGATAACCCATGTAAAGGGGCTAAATGTAGTGCTTCCTATGTTCAGAATGCAGTAAACGTTAGCTATTGAAGTTCTTAATGTTATGCACCTTTGTGAATTGACCTAACCTTTTCCAGCTTTCGGTATAACAAATTCTCTGCTTCAATAAGGCTGAACCATGAAACGCCTTATCTAGTTTTATGTTGACCCTATGCTTGTCACTAATCTGATCCAAGACCCATCCTTCTTTGGCTAGTACCATTCATATTTTCTTTTTCTCTCTCTTTTTTAAGATTTTATTTTTAAGTAATCTCTACACCCAACGTGGGGCTCCAACTTACAACCCCGAAATCAGGAATTGCATGGCCTACCAACATAGCCAGCCAGGCGCCCCACCATTTATATTGTCTTTCTGTACTACAAATAGCACTTGCAGTCTCCCACTTGATTTTATGGGGTCATGTATTGTTCTCAGTTTGCTGTCATATGTAATCTCACTTTCCTTAACCAAGTTGCCTGCCCCTCACGGGTCATATTTTCTAGAGCTTTTCCATCTCCCACAGCACGTAGTACAGTAGGCTGTGGAGTTCAGCATCTCAGTTTGAATCATAGCTCCACAAACTAGTGTGAGCATGTTATAAATCTCCCTAGGCCTCAGTGTCATCATATGGTTTTTATGAAATGTTAATTCACTTAGGGCACTACCTGGTGCGTGGTAAAATCTCAGTAAGTATTTTTATCATTATCCCTGGGCACAAAAGTACTTAAGTATTTATTGTAGTATAAGGCCTGGCCACTTATATATATTTAATAAGTATTTGTTGAATATCATCTTCTAACTTTCTCATTGATTAATTATGTATTCAGTATTTACTTAATTATTAAAGATTTTACGATTACAGTATTATTTTTATTAATTTTTATGTATGAATCCCATTGTGCCAAAAAGGCTAAATTGGGTATGAGCTAACTCTTAAGGGCCATTTAACACAGAGAGATCTCTATTTCATGACCACAGATTGTGTACCTCAGGTTAACTGCTGGCTCCTAAGCTAATTAAAGGGAGTCTGGTTATGTGTGGATGACTTAGCTCAAAACCTGTTCGCACTGTAGGGAGAGAGGATGAAAGGCGCAAAGAGTACGCACCACATCAGTAGAGTCAGTTCCATCCACAGGTAGAACATCTTAACTGCCAAACAATAGGATGTAGGTACACATAGCAAAACCTGAACTTTGCTCTTTAGATCAATGCATTGTATACTAGTTCAGCTTTCATCCTAAGTAAATCAGGATTAATAAACCATGCTATCATGTATTTCTGTTTAGGACAGCCAAGAGAAAAATGGATGAACAGAGTTTCTTTGGTGGATTGCTTCATGTGTGCTATGCTCCAGAATTTGAAACAGTTGAAGAAACTAGAAAAAAATTACAGGAGAGAAAGGCTTATATAGCAAGAACTACTAAAAATAAAGGTATGGAAAGCCAGTTACTAAACACCTCCTATGTGTCAGGCACTCTGCTAGGTATATCATCATGGAGCTCCCAGTCTAGTGGGAAGAGAGGCAGATAAATGATCACAATATTCAGTAACTGTAAACTGCAGGATTCTGTGCAGCACTCTTAAGTAATCTGGGCTGGAAAGGGAGAGATGTTGGTTTGTGGAAGAGTTCCTACAGGATGAGAAAGGTGGCCACTGAGTTTTGAAGGATAAGTAGACATTACTCAGAAGGGGAGAGGAAGTGAGGGGAAGGTAGGCCAAGTGGCATGAATAAATGAGCATCATGTGTTTGAAAGAACATGAATAGTACAGGATAACCACAACACAAGGGCTACATGTGAGAAATAAGACTAGAAAAGAGGACAGGAACTGAATCATGAAGGGCCTTGTATCCCATGCTAAGGAATTAAGGCTTGACCTAAAGGCAGTGAGAAACAATTATGATTTATTTGCAGACTAGTTACCAGCTGCCAATCTAAAACTGCTAAATTTGGAAAAATTCTACTTTTTACCAGCAGCTGGCCACGTGCTGAGTTTCCCTAGACACAAATTCCAGGTGCCTGGAATAGGGTCATGGGATCTGGTACAAGGATTGTAGGAACAGAGCACTCAGAATTGGACTAAAATAATGTATGTGGTCTGAAATCTGAGTAATACTGGAGGCTCAGATTGTCAAACTTCTGCCCTTTAGTTGAAAGACAGAGTCAGTGTCCATATAGTTATTGACTATGATGATTTTATGACTGATTGGGGAAGGGTGTGTGGCAGAGGTGAAGAGAGAAATAAGGTGGGAAGACTTTTGGAAAACTTACCTGAAAATTTGGCAAGAGAGCTGTTGAGAGTCCCTCGTCATTAGTAGACATTGAACATTAACCTGTGGGATATGTGAATAGCTCCAGGAAAGCTTTTATGGTTGTGTAACAAATAAAATAACAAAATATGGGTCCAGCATATTTGCCGCCCTTAAAAACTAACAAACACAAACTAAGCAGTATGATATATTCATATAGTAGAATACTCCAAAGCTGTGAAAAAAAAAAAAAAAGCATTTAATGTAATGACCTAGAAAAAAGCCTCTAAGATCTACAGTTAAGTGGAAAACGCAAAGGCACAGAGAAATGGATATTATGGGAGAAAAAGAGGAGTAGGTGGGAGGAGGAAAAGTAAGACATACTGGGCAGATAAATAAGAAAGTAGGGATTACTTATGGAGGAGTGGAAACCAGGCATATGGGGAGCAAAGAAAGCGAAGCCTGACACTAATAAACCCTTTATCCTTTTTAGCTTTTAAGCACATGAAGGTATTGCTGGCTCAAGAAATAAATTTTTCAGGGTAGCATTTGTTAACATTTTAAAGTAATGTTTGTTCTTAAAATTACACATTTCTGAATGATGGAAACAATAAATGAACTATTTTTTCCCCCTCTTCTCTCACCTTTTAAATTGTAATATAAAGATCATTACATGACAAAGAAGAAACTGGTTACAGAGCTTAAAGACACAAAAGATTTTAGACAGGACTTCCATTCAGGGACATCTGGATTTTGTGCAACCATGCAGAACACTTCTACTGGCAACTCAGATCCTTGTCTTCCTTATTCTTGTGAATTGCCTTTATGTTATTTTTCCTCAAAATGTGCATGTTCATCAGGGGAGCATATGGACAGGGAATCAAACTTCTCTCGGGATGGTAGAAACTATGCTGAAACAGTGGAACATTGTATGTACAATGACTCTTCACAGAAGATACAAATGAAACCTTTTAAAAATTCATTGGCTTGCCCTGGTGCACAGAAGGCTGTTACTTCTTCAGAGGCAGTGGACAGATTTATGCCTAGGACAACACAGCTGCAGGAGCGGAAAAGAAGAAGAGAAGATGACCGTAAAATTGGAACTTTTCTGGAAACGAGCACGAGTAGTAATGAGGTTATGATTGGGCCTCTGTTACCAGACATACCTAAAGTGGACCTGCATGACGATTCGTTGAATACAACAGCGAATTTAATTCGGAATAAACTTCAAGAGGTAAGATCATTTTTAAAAAACTGTTTTAAAGGGGGCGCCTGGGTGGCTCAGTCGTTAAGCATCTGCCTTCGGCTCAGGTCATGATCCCAGGGTCCTGGGATCGAGCCCGGCGTCGGGCTCCCTGCTCAGCAGGAAGCCTGCTTCTCCCTCTCCCACTCCCCCTGCTTCTGTTCCCTCTCTTGCTGTGTCTCTCTCTGTCAAATAAATAAATAAAATCTTTAAAAAAAAACAACAAACTGTTTTAAGGGTGCCTGAGTGGCTCAGTCGCTTAAGCATCTGCCTTCGGCTCAGGTCATGATCCCAGGGTCCTGGGATCGAGCCCCGCATCGGACTCCTTGCTCAGCGGGAGCCTGCTTCTCCCTCTCCCTGCCTATCTGTCTGCCTGCTTGTGATCTCTCTCTGTCAAATAAACAAAATCTTGAAAAACAAAAAAACAAAAACTGTTTTAAGAGACCGTTTGGTCATAGGGCGCCTGGGTGGCTCGGATGGTTGGGCGTCTGCCTTCGGCTCGGGTCGTGGTCTCAGGGTCCTGGGATCGAGTCCCGCATCGGGCTCCCTGCTCCTTGGGAGCCTGCTTCTCCCTCTGCCTTTCTCTCTCACTCTGTCTCTCATGAATTAAAAAAAAAAAAAAAGGACTAACAGCTAAATGGAGATTTGTGGCAACTAAAGTATTGTCATTAATTTTCTTCATTTTCAGTTTTTTTATTTTTCTTTTAAAGATTTATTTATTTATTTATTTGACAGAGAGAGAGAGAGACAGCAAAAGAGGGAACATAAGCAGGGGGAGTGAGAGAGGGAGAAGCAGGCTTCCCGCTGAGCGGGGAGCCCGATGTGGGGCTCGATCCCAGGACCCTGGGATCATGACCTGAGCCAAAGGCAGACGCTGAACGACTGAGCCACCCAGGCGCCTCATTGATGTGTTTTTCTACAGTTCTCTGTTGAAGTAACTGAATCTAACAGAAATGTATGTGCTTTGATGTCATTAATCCTTGCTTTAAACAATGAACATAACATATTTTATATCATTCTAGATCTAAAATAAAAAGCAGTGGTTTTAGTCATTGAGGTCAGCCTGTGAGAATGGAGCCCAGGCCCTCCCTTTTTAAAGCTCTCCAGATGGTTCTATTATGAGCTAAAGTACAGAACTATTGTGTTGAAGGAAAATTATTACAACTTATTTCTCTCAAGTTCAAAGTTATTACAAATTACATCAAATTAAAATGCTTTTTGCTTCTTTGATAAAAATAGCCATAGAATAAAGTGAGATTTCTAAAGACTAGGCCCTAAGGTCTGCATTTCAAAATGTCAACTTCTTAAATAGATTACAGTTTCATTGTGCTACTTAAGTAGTAATTTCTTTACATGTTATTTATGTAATCATTTGCCATTTTCTAAGCACAAATGAAAGAAAGCTAACATTTGAATTAGCTTTTGAAAGATACCTTTTTATGGGGCAAGCCTTTTAGAAATCTAATTGAGGGAGAAAGACCATTCTCCTAAACTTTAACTCTGAGGTTCAGAAAGTGCTTTTCATGCAGTTGTATATGTATTTTACAGTGTGATGAAGGGAGTCTAAGGTGGCTTAATTTATGTGTTGTTTTGTTACCTGAAAATTATCTGATTAAGGGTGAGGGCTTATTTTATAATAATAAAAATCTGTGAACACAATTTCCATGCTTAAACCTCTTTAATTTTTTTAGTTTGTGCTGGCCCCCTTCCTTCCTTCAGATATAGTTGAACTGAGGCGTAGATTCAGATACATAGCTCTCTTAGCCAGAGCTGACTATATTTTCAAGAAAAAAGTTGTTAGGGGACGTCTAGATGGCTCAGTTGGTTAGCGTCTGCCTTCAGCTCAGGTCCCAGGGTCCTGGAATCGAGTTCCGCATGGGGCTCCATGCTCCATGGGGAGCCTGCTTTTCCCTCTGCCTGCGCGCTTGCCACTCTCACACTTGCTCTTTCTCTCCCTGACAAATAAATAAAAAAACCTCAAGGGAAAAGAAAAAAGTTGTTAGGTCCAAATCCTAGATAAGGAAACAGTAGAACAACAAAATTGAGAAAAACTAACTACAACTTACTACAGTTTCTAATAATTGTGCATCTAAATGAAGACTGTCATACTCTGCTTTAACTCATTGTCCACTCTTTTTCTGATGGTGTGTTTGGTTTCCCTTCCCTAGGAAATTGAGTATTATACCATTTTCTGCTTATTTCTCCAAATTTCTCATCTCCCCCCAAGGCTCCATGTCTCTTAAATACATCAGATGTTATTAGTGTTTTGAGTTATGCAGAATCAGGATGTCTATCCGTATCCATCAGATAGCAAGTGACTTCAGATATATAAAGGATTGTTAACGTAGAGTATGTATTTACATTTCTCTCTTCCAATTTTTTTTCTTCTAAATGGCTTTAGAAATTTTACTCTCATCAGTGTTTGGACAGAAAACTGTGCCTAGATCGTAGGCTGTACCCTGAAATTGGGCTCACTCTGCCTCAAACGTGAGGGCAAGAATTGGACTACTACTAGATGAATATCCTACCTCTTCTTTTTATTTATTTATTTTTTATTATTATTTTTATTTTTTTATTTTTTATTAGTTATATCCTACCTCTTCTAATAGTTTAGTTTACTTATTCTTGTACTATAAAAGCTAATTTTGGTGGTTCTCTTTTTTTTAAAACTAGGTCATTTCATCTGTGCCAAAACCTCCAGAAGACAAGCTGGAAGATGTGCATACAAGTCGTCCATTAAAGCAAAGAAGAAGAATATAGACTGTCAGCAGCAAATTCTGTTTTTTACAGCACTCTTTATTTTTTATTTTTAGCCTATCATTTTAATTGTTGAAGAGATTCTACTGCTGGTATTTTTTAATGCACTCCTCTTTGTAATATCATTCAAGCTACTTACCTAATAAAATTTCATTTTTTAAAATTAGTTTATCATGGACAAAATACATGCCAGCCAAATCTGTTCCTTAAAAAAAGAAAACTAAACTTTTCCAGGAGCTCTACTCAGTGACTTTGGTTACATCTTTTTGGCTAGAAGTGGGCTCATGGCCGTTGCTAAACTGGGGAGGTCTGGCATTGTGAATGTTTACGTTTCCAACTTCTTTGGATGAGGAAGCAAGAGAAAAGAGGGTTGTGAAAGGCTTATTCACAGTATTTGCCACAAGAACCAAGCTTGTTGGCTAACTTAAAAAATAAAATTAGGGGCGCCTGGGTGGCTCAGTCGTTAAGCATCTGCCTTTGGCTCAGGTCATGGTCCCGGGATCCTGGGATCGAGCCCCGCATCGGGCTCCCTGCTAAGTGGGAAGCCTGCTTCTCCCTCTGCCTGTTGCTACCCCTGCTTGTGTTCCCTCTCTCACTGTGTCTCTTATCAATCTGTCAAATAAATAAAATCTTAAAAAAAAAATTAGTTTATCATTACTTATTACAGGTGTTATTTTGATCATACTTAATATTACAGAAACTGGGGATGCCTGGGCAGCTCAGTCGGTTAGGCGTCTGCCTTCAGCTCAGGTCATGATCCCAGGGTCCTGGGATCAAGTCCCGCATCAGGCTCCCTGCTTCTCCTACCTGCCGCTGCCCCCTGCTTGTGCTTTCTCTCTCTCTCTGACAAATAATAAAATCTTAAAAAATAGAAGTTACAGAAACTGTTCTTTTAATATTACTTGCCACATTGTAGTAGTTATATGTAAATGAACTGAAGCAAAGATAAAAACTTTACAATGCAAATGAAGATAGGCAGTCAGGATCTGTTTCTGATTTTAATTTAAGTATTGAGTGATTCACATTCAAAAACTAGAAGTCAGGATGTGTCTGAATGCCAGGGCTTCAAAATCAATACAATTCTGTAAAGTAAAAAAGGTAAACTATTAGAACAAAGCTGAAATTAGAAGCCTACATTCTTCAGTTAACTTGTAAGAAGAATTGGCTTATCTATGGCAGAAATGAATCTGTATTTGTAAATGCTAGACTGCTAGCCGCTACTTTTAGCATACCCACATTGCTTTTCCTGTCAGTGAACCACATAATTGGAAATTGGAATAAGTATGTTCAGGCTGTTGCCTTTTTTTTTTTTTTTTTTTTTTTTACTGATAAAAATAACTTGAGAAGGCCCATACCAAATGGTGGTCTGTTTTTCTTTTCACTCTATACCTAAAGACCTCTTGCCTATTGGATTGAATTTGAATATACCAGTTAGGAAGGCTCATCCTCAGTTATGACCTACTGATACAAACTTGCTGGGATTGCTCCAAGTGGTGGATGGTTTTAAAAGAAGGTGGGGGTTTGTGGCCTTACTTCCTTGTAAGGTAATTAGATATTTTTCTCCGCTGAACTGTAAAAGACACCTTAGAGACCCCAGCATAGAATTGGAAAGAGCAAGTTACTGTCTAGAACACGCTTCTCAGACATTAAGATGCTATGAATCTCTACCTCAGGGCCTTATTAAAACGCAAATTCTGATGGTAGTGGCCAGGAGCTGGAGGATGGTGGGAATGCAGAATTATTTAAAGGTACAGAGTTTCAGTTTTGCAAGATGAAAAGAGTTCCGGAGACTGTACAACATTGTGAATGTACCTGAAGTTACTGAACTGTATGTTGTTGTTTTTTAAGATTTTATTTATTTATTTGACAGAGACACAGCGAGAGAGGGAACACAAGCAGGGGTAGTGGGAGAGAGAGAAGCAGGCTTCCCGCGGAGCAGGGAGCCCGATGCGGGGCTCGATCCCAGGACCCTGGGATCATGACCTGAGCCGAAGGCAGACGCTTAACGACTGAGCCACCCAGGCGCCCCCTGAACCGTAGGTTTGTAATTAGTTAAGACAGTACGTTTTATGTTAGATGTATTTTACCACAATTAAAAAAAATTCTCTGAGGGAGAATTTTTAAATTCTTAAAGGGAGGAGCTGCTCAATGGGTTCTGTGTTGTTGAATGGATTTCTGATCTTTTCAGGATCTTTTCAGTGACTGTGTGGAGGCTAGCATGCCTCCCCATCCCCACCAACATACACAGTATTTGACCACAAGGACAGAAAGAAGAACCTTTGCTGTGTCAAGCATCAAAAGGAAGGAAGAAAGGAAGAAAGGCGAGGAAAGGAAAAAGGAGAGGAAAGGAAAAAGGAAGGAAGAAAAGAAAGGAAAGATTCTGAGGCATTTGGTTTGGGGTGGGGCCTGAGATTTTACGCTTCTCACAAGTTACTAGGTGATACCATCGCTGCTCATGCACAGACTACACTGAGTAGCAAGGCTCTGGATAACTGAGCTACTGAATTCTGGGAGCAACTGAAGAACTGTTGGTGTTCCCTCTGACCTAAGTAGTTACTCCATTCCAGTCCATTCTATACTGTTCCCCGTCAGTCTCAAAATGAGAAGTCTGCCTTTCACACATTGCATTTTACTACATATTTCCAGGCAGAATTAGAATGTGGGAATAAACTACAATGGGACAAATCAGAGAAATGAGCTGAGATAGCTCAGGAGAGCTTAACATTATGCAATTTCATGCACAAAATTGCCATCCAAATTACTACAGAGAATAAAAGGTTTCTACAGGTTTACAAAGCAGTTGATCAAAGGAAGAATTAAAGGAAATATTAATGTGTCAAATCAATTATTAGGCTGGCTGTTCTGGCTCAGAAAACTTGTGTCAAATTAATCAATGAAAAATCTTCATGAGCACAAATACTATAAAGTACTTTAAATGTGTCCAAGATTTTTAAAACTTAATTATTCTCATTGTTTGACAACATTTGAGTTGAAAGAGACCAAGTTTTGTCCTAGCAGTTTATGGTGGGTACTTGCTGAATACACTGTTCGGTGTTCTATCCCTTAAGCAAACCAATATACCTAGTTTTCTTTGGGAAAGTAACATTAACATAAAAGAAATCAGGAATTGTGTATAAGCTAAAGAAGTTACAAGCTCAAAAAGTCTGTTGAATATAATAAATAGTCATTATTGTTGGGTCCCACATTAGGATGGAGCGAAGACCCTCATGTTTGCCTGAACTGCAGCAGTGGGCCAAAACCCCTACAGAGGTGAGTTGTCTAGCAAGTATTACTTTCTCATCCCTTATAATTTTCTCTTAACCAATTTGAGCTGTTGGCACTGTACCTTTGCTTCTGGTAAACATGGTCCAAACACCTCCAACAAAAGTCTCTCTTCTTTTACTGCTTTTTCAAAGTCTGCAAAAGATATTTTGCCATCGTTGTCATAATCCTAGAGAGGAAGGTGATTTCTTAATAAATGATAGTTTTTAATTTTGCCTGGAAAATAACTCTTTGCCAAGGAAAATTATTAGTTACACTTCTGTGGACACTACTTACATAAATCAAAAGGTACTTTTTATCAAGTCTACTTATCTTATTCCTGTAAGTCTCTTTGGAATACCTGGTATTATGGGCTGAATGTTTGTGTCCCTCCTGCCTCCGAATTCACATGTTAAAGCCCCCAGTGTGATGATTTTGAAGGTGGGGTCTTTGGGAGGTAATTAGATTTGGATGTCTTGAAGGTGGAGCCCCCAAGATATAATTACTATCCATGTAAGTGGAGAGAGACCAAAGCTCCCTCTTTCTGCCATGTGAGGACACATTGAAGTGGTGGCTGTCTACAAGCCAGAAGAGAGCCCTCACCATGGAAGTGAATCAACTGGCACCTTATCTTGGATTCCCCAGTCTCAGGACTTTTCTAAATTTTATTTTTAAGTAATCTCTACACCGAACATGGGGCTTGAACTTACAACCCTGAGATCAAAAGTTGCATACTCTACCAATTGAGCCAGCCTGACGCACCCCCCCCCCAACCCCGCAGTCTCAGGATTTTGAGAAATACATTCCCGCTTAAGTCACCCAGTCTGGTATTTTGTTATAGCAGTCTAAGAGGACTAAGACACCTGAGTTACTTTAGATACATAAAATATAGCCCTGTCCCTAAAGGACTTACACTCTAATTGGGGGAATAAGACAAAAAATTAGAGGACACATATTATTATATTGCTACTTTTGTGATAAAAACAGTGCCATAGGGCATAGATTTTCAAGTTTAATTTGTAGTAGTAGAACTTGTTCCTCAAAGGATCTCTGACTTGGGAGCCCATTATGTGAAAACGGTAAAAGTGAAGTTGCAAAAAAAAAAAAAAAAGGTGAAGTTGCTCAGGTAAGGAGCAAGGCACTGAGAGCAGTAACAGTTCAGGATGGACTAGAATCATGAGAAGATGCTTGCAGACCACTGGGAGGTCTTTCAGGATGGTTGAGATGGCCTTTAGGTAGCCAGAGAGGTATGGGGAGGAAATGCAGATGAATGGCTCAACCTGAATTCTGACAATATGAGGGAGTGTAAGTCAGGAAGAAGACAGACCTGCCTGGAGCGTTGATGACAGGGACTATGGGAGATTAAACATAGGGAGACCATGTATGTAAATTATAAATGCCTTTACTTAATTGAATTTGGGTTTGATTTGATGGGCTCTTGTTTTTTCACTCTGGGCATTACTAAATCAGGGTTGCTGAGAGTCTAACTTAGAGAAAGGTTTGAATAATTATCAGAAAAAATTCACTCCATAATACTCCCTTTCAAAAAAGAAGGGAGTGGGTTTAGTATTGGGGAACATACTATCTCTCAAGAAGTCTACCCTCAGCCCTAGCAGCAGCTAGTGAGAGTATCTCTAATGGAAGAAGATATGCTAGAGTCTGTGTTAGCTGAATGTGAGACTCAGCAGCCCCCATCATCTATTTCCTTCCCAATCCGCTGAAGAGTAATGGAGGTGAGCTGGGTCCAGACTGCCTCAGAGTGACAAATTTTCAACGGTATCCAGGATAGGGTCATAGTAAGAAGAAGAGAAATTACTATGTTCATAATAAAGTGGTACTATTGGTTTCATTGAAAGAATTCTGCACCCCATTTTCTAGTGTGACCTTGGGTAAACCTATTTGTACTTCAGTTTTCTTATCTGTAAAATAGAGATCGTAATTTCTACTACATAGGGTTGTTTTAAGGTTAAAATGAGTTCATATATTAAAGTTCTGTGAAGGGCCTGGCATATAGTAAGTACTCTATAAGGGACAACTATTTCAATTATTATGTTATCTTGTTACTGTGTTTCGATGGATTGGAGGGTGAGGGTCATGAAGACAGATGAGAGTAGCATCCCATTTTACACAAATCAAATCTGCCGCACTACACCCACACATTAATGAGCTTTTATGGATAGTAAAACATTTTAAACTAATTAACATTCATTTTGTGTGGTGATTCATTTATTTATTTATTTAACTTTTTTTTTTTAAAGATTTTATTTATTTATTTGACAGAGAGAGACACAACGAGAGAGGGAACACAAGCAGGGGGAGTGGGAGAGGGAGAAGCAGGTTCCCCACTGAGCAGGGAGCCTGATGCGGGGCTCGATCCCAGGACCCTGGGATCACGACCCGAGCCGAAGGCAGACGCTTAATGACTGAGCCACCCAGGTGCCCCGTGGTGATTCATTTAATCACCCAGCCATTCCATAAGTATTTACTGAGCACCCACTATCAGCCAGGCATTGTTCTAGGCAATGGATGGAGCAGAAAACAAACAAACACAAAAATCCCTTGCCCTCGTAAAGGTTGCTATCATTATAGAGGGACATAAATCATTTCTTTGTCTTTAGCTTTCTCTAACATCTGCTTGATTGGATATAATAAGTTATAGGTTTTCATTCTTACCATTTTCTTCAGTGTTATATCTACCAACTCTTTTATTCCTTCATCACTCTCTTCTTCAGATGACTGTTGGCATAGACTGTTCTTCAACATGTCAAATATCTCTTCTCGAGAAATGTAACCGTCACCATTCAAATAGTAAACTTCAAAACAGACTGTCCAAAGCACAAGAAATTTAAAGACTTGGATAAGAACAGTTAAAATATCACTAGTCTTCCCCTTAGTTATTTCAATATATAGTTTTTTTAAAGATAAAAACAATTTATACAGTCTGTAATTATTGGTCCATATGATAGAGAGATTTTAAAATAAAGCACCCTTTATTATACTTCTTTCCACAGGATTAAATCCCCCCTTGGATGTGGATTTTGAAAGTGAGAGTTCAAAAATGTTATGAAACCTGAAACCATGAAATTCCTAGAAGACAACAGAGGAACAAAGCTCTTTGGCATGGGTCTTGGTAATGGTTTCATGGCTATGACACCAAAAGCACAAGCAACAAAATAAAAAATAAACAAATGGGACTATATCAAACTAAAAAGCTTCTGCACAGTAAAAGAAACCATCAACAAATGAAAAGACAACCTGTGGAATGGGAAAAAATACTTGCAAACCATATCAGATAAGGTGTTAACATCCAAAATATATTTTTTATTTTTTTAACATATTCATTTTTTTATTATGTTATGTTAGTCACCATACATTACATCGTTAGTTTTTGATGTAGTGTTCCATGATTCATTATTTGCGTATAACACGCATAGAACACGTATAACAGTGCTCCAATAACTCCTACAATTCAATAGCAAAAAACCCCAACCCAATTAAAAAGTGAGCAAAGGACCTCAGTAGACATTTCTGCAAAGAAGATAAATGAAAAGTCAACAGGTACAAGAAAAGATGCTCAACATCACTAGTCATTAGGGAAATGGAAATTAAAACTGTAATGAGATATCGCCTCATGCCTGTGAGAAAGGCCATCATCAAAAAGAGAGCAAGAGAGAGAACAAATGCTAGTGTGGATGTGGAAGAAAGGGAACCCTAGTTTACTGCTGGTGGGATTATAAACCAGTGCAGCCGTTCTGGAACATAGTACGGAGGATCCTCATAAAACTAAAAATAGAACTGCCCTGTAATCCGGCAATTCTACTTCTGGGAGTATATCCAAAGGTAATGAAAACACTAACTCAAAAAGATATCTGCACCCCCATGATCATAGCAGCACTATGTACAATAACCAAGGTTTGGAAACGATCTAAGTTTCTATCGATCAATGAATGGAAAAGGAAGTTGTGGTATATATATATTCATGTAATGGAATATTATTCAGCCATTTAAAAAATGAGGAAATCCTATAATTTGTAACCACACAGATGGGCCTTGAAGGCAGTATCCTAAGTAAAATAATTAAGACAGGGAAAGACAATACTTTGTAATCTCCCTTATATGTGGAATCTGAAAAAACAAAAACCAAACCAAACCAAAGAAACAAAAAACCTGACAACAAACTCATAGAAAAAGAGATCAGCCTTGTGGTGACCAGAGATGAGAGGGTTGAAGGAAGGGAAATTAGAGGAAGATGGTCAAAAGGTACAAACTTCCCATATAAGTTAAATAAGTACTAGGGAAGTAATGTACAACATGATGACTAGAGCTAACAATGATGTATGATATAGAGAAAAGTTGTTCAGAGAGTGAATTCTAAGAGTTCTTGTCACAGGGAGAATTTTTTTTCCTTTCTTGTCTTTTTTTCCTTTTTTTTGTCTTCTTATTGTATCTGTATGAGAAGATGGATGTTAGCTGAACCTATTGTAGTAATCATTTCACAATATATGTAAATCAAACCAATCTGTATTGTCTTGAATTTATACAGTGATGTGTGTCAATTATTTCTCAATAAAACCAGAAAAATAAAAGAATTTGGGGGGAAAAAGTGGTTGACAAAGATGCAGATTCCTGTTCATGTGTACCTAGATTGGAGAGGACACAGTTACAGATTGGATATCAGAATGAACTTTGTAAGAAACATTTGATATTAAGTCTTCATAATTAAAAAACAAATAAACAGAACTCCTCATTGAGATAGCACAAAGTAAGAGTCCAGATCCCTTGGTCGTAGCAGCTCAGGGAATGCTATTTTAAAATGTTCTCCAGGTAAAACTGTATTTTAAAATGTTCCCTAGGTAGGGACGCCTGGGTGGCTCAGTCGGTTAAGCGGCTGCCTTCGGCCAGGTCATGATCCCAGGGTCCTGGGATCGAGTCCCATATTGGGCTCCTTGCTCAGCAGGGAACCTGCTTCTCCCTCTCTCTCCCTCTGCTTGTGCTCTGTCAAATAAATAAAATCTTAAAAAAAAAAAAATGTTCCCTAGGTAAAACTGATGTAGCCAGTTGAAACCATTCCTCAATCCATATTGGAGAATCAGTCCTATAGGTACTTTACAACTAACTGTATTTTAAAAAGCAGCTCATTGGAAATTTACATATCTAAGATGTCTTGGCATTTGTGAAGTATATTTAAATATACTACATTATCTTAGTTGGTGACTTCTTGTTTCTGGTATACTTGAAATCAACGAGCTTAATTTAGGTACTTGAAACTATTTATAAACAAATAATATCTTCTGTATTCAAAGAGATATCAATTCCAACTTGTAAATATTAACAGTCTTTTTCCTCTTCTCTGTCCCCACTGTTCTTCCCTGTCCCCACTGTTATTTCCTAGATAACTTCAACAATCTCCTAAGAAACTCCCCTGCTTCCAACCAATATTTCATTATTTATTATAGTTGATTCACAGCTGTCCTCTTAGGGAGTGTTGGGGAGAGGAAACTGATCCTATTTGCTAAGACTCAACTTTAATGATATACGTTCAACTTACCTTATTAGCCCCACATCTCGATACCAATTTTCCCAACTCAACATGCTCAATAAGACATCCATGCTTTTATTCATACTGTTCCTACTGTCTAGCATGGTCTTCTTTCTAGTTTTTTTCTGCTCAAGATTTACAAGAACCAACTGAAAGGCTAGTTATTCTGTGAAAGTGTCTTCTGATCTACAAGATCCACTAGAAAGAACTTTCTCATCACTCCCATATAGTATTTTGAAAATACATAGATTTCTAAGCAATCCCATTATATTGTGGTTATTAGTTTATATGTATTGGGTGACCCAGAACTGAGCATCTCCTCTAGTAGAATGATTTCCTGGGTCTCAGGTAAAACACAAATAAAAGAAGAATTTTATAGACTTTGAAAAAATGTGATGAAACTGCAATAAAGGAGATATATAAAAATATTTTTAAAGTAAACTCTACACTCAATGTGGGGCTCAAACTCACAACCCAGAGATCAAGAGTTGCATTCTCTACTGACTGAGCCAGCCAGGTGCCCCTGGAGATAAATATTTAAACCTATGATCATTCAATACATATATACTCGTGTATACATACGTGTGTGTATGTATCTCAATATTATGATTCTCTTCTTAAATAGAGTATAAAAACTAAGTACAAACTTGATTACATAACTGACAAAGAACACTTTTCAATATATTTGGATAGTGAGTCTGTCATTCCCTTGGAGCCTGCCTATTGCACTATCCAAAATGATCTCTGTCTCCCTGGAGAGTGACTTCCATGACTTCCAACCATTCATTCATGCCACAGATAACCTTCCTCAGGTGCTAAACATACAGTAAAGGAGCTTTTCTGGAGTTTGTAATCTAGCTAAATGTTTTGGCAAAAGCAATAGAACCAGGTATAAAATTCCAGAGTATCAGATTAACTGTGCCTTTTTTGTTGAGGTACTTTAATCCATAGCACACATGCAGCACAATCCTATGAGAAGTAATATTTTCCCCAAGTTAACATATCCTGAAATGTATATGAAACATTTTTAGGAAAAGGGATTGGAGGAGGAAAATTCTTTGACAGTGTGATGCTATTCACTCAAGTATAACAACACTGGAGTCCCAGTCATTTTCCCTATGTACCAGCACAAGAATTTACATCCATGAAAACTTAAGCTTTTCACTTCTCAGTGAGACTTTTGTATAAGAAAGCTGCAACAAACTTAAGTGGCAACTATATTTAAATGTTACCCCCGTGAAAAATTAGACCGGAGAAAAGCTAAGGGAAAAAAAAGCCCCAACACAGGGGCACCTGGCTGGCTCAGTGGAGCATGCGACTCTTGATCTTGGGGTTGTGAGTTCAAGCCCAACGTTGGGTGTAGAGATTACTTCAAAATAAAATCTTAAAAAAGAAAACCCACATAATGTTGTATGTCAATTTCACCTCCATAAAAATAATTAAGAAAAAACCCCCACAAAACAGAGAAACAAAAATCATAAATACCAGAGAAAGTTGGTGGTTTTTAAAATTGTTGCTATTGTTTAAAAAATGTGTGTTTAATGTGGGGATCTTCTTTTCCACGTCCCAAATCCAAATTCAAGTGGAAGAACAAGGGACAAAAATTTGCTTACTTACTCAGAACGCCACAGCCTTTTCTTAAGCAATTTGACACTTTAAGCAATTTTGACACTTTAAGCAATTGTTCCCTTGAAGAATGCCATTTAAAACTGTTCCTATTCTCTTTCCAGTTTCCTCACCCCAAAACCTGGCCCCAGAGGTATAAAACATAGAAAATATACATCACACCAATGGTACAGTGAAGTGAGGCCAGAGCTATTTATTTTTAGGCAAAATTGTGAATAGGGAAATTTTTGTCTTTGGAATTCCTAACATTCCTGTCCTGTAGGAAACTCCTGTAACCCTTCTCCCTGTGGGCCTGTGGGCATTCTTTGTCCTCAACCTTCTTCCCTCTCTTCACTCATCTACACAAATTCTAACACTAGAGTATTGATGTCTGATGGTTAATGTGTGTTTCATCTTGTTTGTTTGTTTTTTAAGATTCTATTTATTTGTCAGAGAGAGACACAGCAAGAGAGGGAACACAAGCAGGAGGAGTGGGAGAGGGAGAAGCAGGCTTCCCGTGGAGCAGGGAGCCCAATGCGGGGCTCGATCCCAGGACCCTGGGATCATGACCCGAGCCAAAGGCACTTAACAACTGAGCCACCCAGGCGCCCCTACGTTTCATCTTGTTTTGTGTCAATCCCTCACATATATTTTCTTTGATCAAGAGACAAGGAACGGCCTCACTGTGACTTATGCACTGCCCTATATCAAGGTCCATTTCCTGCTGAGCCCAGAGGCAGCCACAAAAACCTTGGCCTTGTTGGCTGATTAGAGTTGGCATAAGCCCTGACCTTGACTTGCTGCTCTTGGCCTTAAGCCAAAGAGTTGTCCCGGTGACATTTAGGCATTATAGACCCAGTGAAGGAAGTGTTTGGGGTTCCTGGGTCTAGGGACTCTCCCATCAAACAGGCCACCCATTTCATGTTTTGATTTTTTTTAAAGCTGTCATGAACTATTTTTGAAAGGTTGCTATAGAGAACATGGATTTTGTATTTTTAAAAAATGTTTAAGCATTCATTAAATACAAAATACAAAATTGACAATGTATATTACTAAGTCAGTAATCACATATAGAAATCTTACACTTAAGCTTTTCTTCAAAAGTCCCTCGAAGAAACACTGATAATCCTTTAACCCACTCTTTCGCATTTATGCAGTTATCATTGTCTTTGTCAAATGCAAAAAATACTGAAAGAAAAATACCATAGAAGCATATTGTAATTTATAACTATTTTATAATTCAAAAGTATATAGTATATATGAAAAGATTTTTAAAACTTTCCTCCAAAACAAAAACAAAAAAACACACCAAAAAACTTTTCTCCCAAATTGAGGGGAAAAAAAGGTTTTGGCACAGTCTTTCTTAAAAGTCAAAATTACTAGGAATATGTTTCCCCCCGATTTTTGTAGAAAGAAAAGAGTAATTCTCCTTCATGATCAATGATGAACTTCACTTGTGATGTTTTGTACAGTTACTATGAGCCAAGAAGAGCAACAGTGGAGCTAATCAAGGTGATGATAATTTTTATTTTAAAAAGAGTGGCAGGGGTGCCTGGGTGGCTAGTTGAGCAGCCAACTCTTGATTTTGGCTCAGGTCATGATCTCAGGGTCCTGGGATTGAGCCCTGCATCGGGTTTGTGCTCAGTGGGGAGTCTACTTGAGATTCTTTCTCTCTCCTCTCCCTCTGCTCCTCCCCCTGCTTATGCTCTGTCTCTTTCTCTCTCTCTAAAATAAATAATTTTTAAAAAATAAATAAATAAATAAGAGGCAAAGGGGGCACCTGCCTTAGGTCAGTTGGTAGAGCATGTGACTCTTGATCTTGGGGTCATGAATTTGAGCCCCACGTTGAATGTAGAGATTACTTTAAAAAATAATAATTATTGGGGCACCTGGGTGGCTCAGTCGGTTAAGCAACTGCCTTCAGCTCGGGTCATGATCCCAGGGTCCTGGGATCAAGCCCCACATCGGGCTCCCTGCTCAGCAGAGAGCCTGCTTCTCCCTCTCCCTCTGCCTGCCGCTCTGCCTACTTGTGCTCTCTCTCTGTGTCAAATAAATAAATAAAATCTTTAAAAGATAGTAATAATATAAATAAAATCCATTTAAAAAGAGTGGCAAAATTCTGTTCTAAACAGTCTGTATAAATACATAAAGATAAATTACTAAAATAACATTATTTTTAAAATTACCAATGAAATCTTAATATCCTATAGAAAATAAAGTGTTATTGACTCTCTTAGGGGTGATGTTGATTATTTTGATTATGATTATGGTTTCAAGGTATACACCTACATCAAAAATTATCAAATTGAACACTAAAAATTTGTTAATGAAACTGGATCACATTAAATAATTTCCTATTTTTTTTTTAAAGATTTTATTTATTTATTTGACAGAGAGAGACACAGCGAGAGAGGGAACACAAGCAGGGGGAGTGGGAGAGGGAGAAGCAGGCTTCCCGCAGAGCAGGGAGCCCGATGCGGGGCTTGATCCCAGGACCCCGGGATCATGACCTGAGCTGAGGGCAGATGCTTAATGACTGAGCCACCCAGGCGCCTCTCAATCTATTTTTTTAAAAAAATTCGGAATCTTTGATGACAACTGAATACATACATACATATATATATATATATATAAATTTGCCATATATAAATTTGTCATTACAAATATATATTTGCCACATATTAATATATACACCATATATATTGCCATCTCAGCTTGGCTCATTTCAATTTCTTAAGACTCTTACCCCTATTCATTAGCATATCATCAGTCATTCCAAATATGCTGTGCAGGATCGCTCGAAAAGCATTACGATCTAGTCCAGAATTATTAAGTCTTACATTAGCTCTTTCCACCAAGCTGTGAAAAAGTCTTAGGAGACACTCTATTTCACTTTTTTTGACTGCAAAATAAAAATACAAATAAATACAGCTTAGACTTAGTCCTTGAGTACTCCAATCTAATAAAAAATATTTTACTAAGCAGCTCTTTTGTTCCTATGGTACTAGATGCTCTAGCAATTAAAAAGTATGACATGACTTGTTACTTGAGGGCTTACCTTTCTGGGTGTCACCCAGAAGTCTCATAAGATACTGTGTAAATTAAAAATTATGTAATATTAACACTCACCATTATAGACATGTAAAGAAAGAGAAATCAATGTGGGAAAGAGGAGTTGGGCCATTTTCATGGGAGCAGACTTTGAACAGAGACTTGAAGAATGCATAGCATTTATACAGGAAGGAATGTGTTGGGGGTAGTACACTAGGGAATTACAGGGAGAGAGAACATGGGTAAAGGAAAGAAGTAGAATTGCGGTTGGGTTTGAACATGCTTTATTGGGAGCACAGCAAGTTGAGAAGAGAAAAAACAAGATTGAAGACGATGGGCTAACGGCAGACGGCCTTGAAAGCCTAGTCAGAAAATTAACATTTACAGTTGACTTGAACCACATAGGTTCAAACTGCGGGTCCACTTAAATGTGATTTAAAAAACAAAACAAAACATAGTGCAGTACTGTAAATATATTTTCTCTTATGATTTTCTTTCTTTTTTTGAGAGAGAGAATGGGGAGGGGTAGAGGGAGAGAACCTTAAGACTCCATGCCCAGTGCCCGATCTCACAACCCTGTGATCACGATCTGAAGTGAAATCAAGAGTTGGAGCTTAACTGACTGAGCCACCCAGGTGCCCCATTCTCTCAGGATCTTCTTAATAACATTTTCTTTTCTTTAGCTTACTTTAAGTATACAGTATATAATACATAAAATGTATGAGATATGTTAGTTGACTCTAAGTAAGTTCAGTAATAGGCTATTGGTAGTTAAGGTTTTGGGGAGTCAAACATGGATTTTCAACTGTGTGGGGTTGGTGCTTATATCCTCCAGGTTGTTCAAGCATCAGCTGCATTTTACTGGAGCAGTGATTTTCTCATGGACCATCTTTGGACCATCTGTATGAGAGAATCAACCCCCTCTCCATTGTTTGTTTAATCCAGATTCCCATGTCTTGCCCCAGACCTACCAAGTCAGAATCACTAAGATCAGGCCCAGGAATTTGCTTTTATTTTTTATTTTAAGAGTTTTATTTATTTGAGAGAGAGCACAAGTGGGGAGGATGGGCAGGGGAGAGCAGGCTCTCCACTGAACAGAGAGCCTGACACGGGGGTGATCCCAGGACCCCGGGACCATGACCTGAGCCGAAGGCAGATGCTTAATTGACTGAGCCACGCAGGTGCCCAGGAATTAGCTTTTAAACAAGAGGTGGGTTGACTCTTCTAGGCCCTAAGGGTTGAGAAGTGGTTTAGGAAAATTCATCTGGCAAAATTATATTTAAGGGGAAAACTGGAAGCATAGAAGCCAGGCTTGGAAGTGATAGGGCTTTGGTTAGGGAGGTGGAAATGAGGTCAGAAAGTGGGAAGGGGCTGGAGATGTTAATTTTCAAACAGAAATTTCCAATATTCATACACTCAGGTTTCACTCTAGACTTAGGAAAAGGGTATTTTTAAAGAAGTGCATGGATGATTCTAATGCATTGTCACGACTGAAAATTAAAGGATTAGATTTAGCGGGTTGGGGGTACTAAAGTGCCTGGATTGTACTTCCATTTCTTACCTAAACAGTGGACTTAGACAAGTCATATAGCTTCCCTATGGCTCAGGGTCCTCACCTATGAAACTGGGTATTGTCCTAGATGATCTCTGAGATTCTTCGTTTCTAAAAGCCCAATTCTATGAATCAAAGATTATTTGAAAGAACCAGAAGAGTTAGGAAGGAAAGCTGGTTACTATTTTTTTTCTCCTCCAACCCCCTCCTCCTTTTTTTTTTTTCTTTTTATAGGGATAAATTTTAGATGCTGTCTTTGAGATGATTTCATGTCACCCAACTGAAATCAATGACAACACATAGCACATACGCAGTTTGCAACATTAGGGTTTCTACAATGGTCAGAATGATTTGGTTCTTAGGGGAATGGTTGACAAGTCTGAAGAATAAGCAATTACAAAGGTACCTATTAACACTGTTTTATGAACTGAATTAGATTCTCAGGCTCCACAGTGTAACTATAAGTCCTGAAATATGACATAAAGGTCATTTTTATCCACCTAATAGGCATTAATTAAGAGCCCCCTGTCAACCGGGCATTGAATACACCATGCTTCCTGCCCACCAAGTTGTTACACTTTGGCTAAGATATAAAAAAGTGCAACAAGGTATGACAAGCACTATGATTGATGGTGTTTGGCGGTGACCCAAAGGAAGGAATAATCAACTGGGGGAGGCAGTAGGAAATTAAAAGTCCCAAGGAGGTGTCACTTGAGCTAAGGCCTGCCAAAGATAAGCATTTGCCAGAGGGGGCAGCTTGGAGTTATGTTCTGAGAGCTAGCTGCAGATGATTTGGTGGGGCTAGGTAGCAGACTTGACTTTACAGACAATGAGGAGTTTCTGAAAAATTTTGGCTGGCAAGTTAACAGGATCATATTTGCACTTAAGGGAGAACACTTTGGTAGTAGATTCTTGAAACTACCTTATGAATGGTGAGTTCAGATGTGACAAGGTTGTCTTCCTAAAGACAATTTTAACAGTCCATCCCATCCCATTTGCTCTTTGTACAATGACTTTGATATTCCTCTGAGAGATGGAGTCTCTCCTTTACTTGAACCTAGGAGGGGGTAGGGTGTGTGTGGGTGTGTGTGTGTGTGTGTGTGTGTGTGTGTGTGACTGTTTCAATCAGTAGAGCTCAGTGGAAATGAGGCAATGTGACTTTTCAAGGCTAGGTCACAGAAGGGGATGCAGCTGCTCTGAGGACAAAAACTTGAAAAGCCGCCTTCTTTTTTTTGAATGTGAAGAAAAAGGAAGCTCAGGTGTGGATGCACTATATGGAGTGCAGAGTATGTTAATGATTGCCTGAAAGTAGTCCTGCTCAATTCTGAGGGAGAGAATTATCAATGAGTGGAAATGTTAGCACGAACAACGTGAAAATGGATCCCTGAGGAAAGGGAGGTTTTGGGTCAGGAGCTGCTCTGAGTCGAATACTAACAAGTCATTCAACACAGCTATCAGGGATTTTAGGCACAATCTTTAGCAGGTAATAACTTTTTCTGGGTTTTATCCATGTAAGCTCACATTTCATTATACCTAAAGACCTTACTCATGAGGTCAAGGAACCATTGTAAAAGATATGTGAAAGATCATAGGTAATGAGAATGGTGAGGTGCTAGAGATTGGCCCATTTTATTTAACTTCATTTTGGAATAATTTTAGATTCACATAAGAGAAGCAATGATGATAGTTTGCATAAAATCTTCACTCTCTCCCTGTTAACACCTTACAGAACCGTAGTACAGTTGGTACACATTAACTGAACTACAGATTTTACCAGTTTCCCACTAATGTCCCTTTTGGGGAGGTTCCAGAATCCAAGCCAGGATATACTTGGTTGTCATGTCTCTTCAAATCTGTTAGTGTTCAGTCTTTCATGACCTTGAGATTTTATTTTGCATAATGTTCCTCAATTTGTGTGTGCCTAATGTTTTTCTCATGATTAGACTGTGGCTAGGTGTTTTGGGAAAGAATACTAGAGATAAATTGCTGTTCTCACATGTCAGGGGGGGATATATATTAACAAGGTTAACGGCTGATAACTTCGATCACTTGGTTTAGCTAATCTACAGGGTTCTCCACTGTAGTTACTATTTTCCCTTTCCACAGTCTATTCTTTAGAAGGCAATTGCTCAAGTAAAATGGAATTCCACTTCTTGGGAAGGAATATTGATACTATTATTTGGAGTTCTCCTGAAAGGACGAGGTCTTTTCCCATTTACTTACTCATTTATATCACTATGGGGGGGTGCAGTCACATATACTTATTTTATAATAATTGTTAATTTTCTCGCTTAAATTATTCCAGTTTTGGCCACTAGGAGTTTGAGTCGGCTCTTGTATGTTTCACATAGCACAATCCATTGCCTTTTTCACCTCTTCGCTTCCTGGCCCTACTTGCCAGGTCAATCTCATATCACCCCTGGGTGAGATAACAGGAAATACATATATTGGTCCCTGCCCCTGGTTCCTGACACATAGCTCTCAAAACTCTTGGGATTTCCTAACTCATCTGAGCAGTAGGAGTATCTTTTGTTCAATTTAGTCATTGACCCTGGTTCTCAACACAAAGCTCCTAAATCCCTTGGAACATCAGGGGTGATAGGAATCTTTTGTTCTAGTGAGTGACTGCTGGTGGCTCCTGGATGGGAGCGGGTCACCAGAAAGACCAAACCATTGATTGAAAGCCTGGAACTTTCAGCCCCACCCCCTATTCTGCAGAGGGGCTGGATATTGAGTTAATGATCTATGATGGCTATGTGATGAAACCTTTATGAAGACCCCCAAAGTAGTGTTTAGGGAGCTTCTGGGTTGGTGAACATATGATGGTCCTGGGAGAGAGAATGGAAGCTCCATGCCCTTTTCCACACACCTTGCCCTATGCATCTCCTCCACCTGGCTCTTCCTGATTACATCCTTTTATAAGAAAACAGTAATCTATTAAGTAAACTGTTTTCCGCAGTTCTGTGAGCTGCTCTAGCAAATTAATTGGACCTCCAATTTATAACCAGTCAGTCAGAAGTGAAGATAACAACCTGGACTTGTGATGGGCATCTGAAGTGGGAGATAGTCTTGTGGAACTGAACTCAACCTATGAGATCTGATGCCATCTCAGGTGGTGTCAGGATTAAGAAATTGCTGGGATGTCACAGAAAATTGCTTGCTGGAAAAAACGACAAAGTTGGAGACCAGAAGTGTCAGAAGTATAAGTGTGGTAGTAATGTCAGAGTAAAAGAGAAACACACAGGTGTAGCATAGGGTTTCCTTTACACTCTGTACAGCTACTTCTTCAAGGAATCCTGGTTCTTTTTATTGGAGACTGGTATTTAGACACCAAGGTCTAGGCACTGGGTGTGCTTGTTACTACCAGGGTATTAGTATTTCTAAGCCCAATACATAATGGGGGAGGGTAGAATATTTCTAAGCCCTCTCGGCAGACATAGCTGGAAAATATGTATGTATACAAACCTATGTATGCATACATATTGGCCCATGTTATGTCTCACAAATAAAGTGAAATGCAAATACTGGATTACTAGGTCTATAGATGGTCCTGGGCTAAGTCCCAGAAGAGATGATCAATTGTATTAAAAAATTCATTGGGGTGCCTGGGTGGCTCAGTCGTTAAGTGACTGCCTTAAGCTTAGGTCATGATCCCAGGGTCCTGGGATCAAGCCCCGCATCGGGCTCCCTGCTCCACAGGAGGTCTGCTTCTCCCTCCCCCACTCCCCCTGCTTGTGTTCCCGCTCTATCTCTGTCAAATAAATAAATCTTAAAAAAAAAATTCATCAACACTCAGGGCCTCATGAATTCACAAGGGTATATCATACTGGGTTTAATTTATTTCCTCCTTTTAGTAGGAGTGGATCAGAGAAATGTAGTTCACAAAGTATTTGGATTTTAGCAAGGCATATGAAAAATCTCTTATCCTTGTATTAATTATCTACTCAGCATCCAGGAGTACCAAGCACAATAGTAGGTTCTCAAATAAATGTTTGCTAAATAAATAACCCCTTGTAAGAGAGGTAAAGGAATATACCGGATGAGTCAGGATCCGAAGTAACTTCTTGGCAAAATAATCACTTGAATCAAACAACATGAAATTATTGGGAAGTTTTAAAATTCTTCACTTAGCTTTAAAAAAGTTTTAATCTACTAAGTGTAAAAATTGTGGCTAAACAACAGTATGTGTGAAAAAGACTGGGTCAATTCCTAACTCACTATCAGTAAAGCTGGGATTGCTATTAGGCGGACAGAACTGAAGTTTCATGAAACTAGTGATATATATTGGCTAACTGAATTTTAAACTAAAAAAAAAAAAAAAAAAAATCTAAGGGAAAGATGGCCACCATGTAGTTAGCAATAGTATTCAAGATTCTAAAGAAGGAAGAAAAAAGTATGATTTTCTGAGTTTAAAGCACAAGGAAAGGCAATAGGTAGTTGAAACCCCTGTAAATTAGTTGTTTCTAAATGACAGGTTTGAAGGCTTAAGTGTAAAAATTAACCTCCAGTGTCAGAAATTACCCAGACAATAAATTAGCTAGGTTTCAAATTCTACAGAAACCAAAGAAAGCAAAGACTTAAATACATACACACACACACACACAAAACCAGATTGCCAAGGATGTGTGAATGTGCAACTTAATGTGTAAATTTAAAAGAATCAAAAGAAGAGATCGAACTCATAAATATAAAAGAAAAAGGAACTGAAGTTCCACTTGGAAAAGACAATTTTGGTCAGGAATTCTTAAGCTTTACTGTGTCTAATACATGGAGTGAATGATCTGGATGCTTGGCCCCCACTTGCAGATTTTTAAATGTACCTAGGGTGGTATCCAGGAATCTACATTTTCAATACGAATCTTTAGGTAATTCTGATGGTGGAGATACTCCTACCATACTATGAATAAGAGGTACACAGCCAAGATAAACTACAGAATTTGTGGGCCCAATGCAAAGAAAACATGGGACCCTCACTCAAAACATTAATTTTAAGTCAGTGTTAGCAGAGCATTGAACTAAGCGCAGGGCCCTGTCACAATGCATAGGTGACATACCCATAAAGCCACTTATTATGCCCTGAGGTAATGATCTGC